TCCTGTGTTTATTTTGTGTTGAACTAAGCCAGTCTTTCCTATGTCAGCATCGTTTGATGAGAATACATCGGCGTACTTGAGTAACAACTTCTTCGCCTTGACCAATTCGTTCGGGGAGAGAACACTGCGACAGCCTTCCAAAAGTGTGGTCACTCTCGTTTCTGCATCCTTGCTGGGGGTCCCACTCGATATATATTGGCACCGACGTAACCAATCCACTTTCTCACAAGTACCAATCAGTGTGCCTTTTTCTATAATCTGTTCCCGGTCGCCGTACTCCTGAGATGTCAGTGGTCCTGACCAAAGTTCGAGCTACTTTCCATGGAAGGTCATTGTTTACCCTTTCCACAAGTACACAACGGTGAGCTTGCCCAGCGTTTCGAGGAAGACTAACCGGAACAATCGTTTCCGATCTCGGCGGAAGAACAATCTTCTTAATGCTGTACACGTTCCCTGGTAACGCACCTTCCTTAAAAAGTTCCTCCTGTCCACATTTCAAAACACCTTGCTTAACGTCGATCTCACAACAATTATTCCTCATAAAGTCTAGGCCTAGGATGCAGTCGTCCATTATATCAGCCACGATGACATTATGCAGGTAGATCACGTTGCCTAGCTTCAACTCCATCTCCTTCTCTCCACGTACGGGTATACGCTGACCGGTGGCTGTTACCAAATTAATGCGTTCTCGGTTGTATGCGGAGTCCCCAAGGAACTGACTTAACTTGGGAACTAACAACCGTACGAGAGGCTCCAGTGTCTATGGTCAAAGGCCCCTCCCCCCCCGCTTACCACAACCCTCGGCTTTTACTCGTTTCCCTGCTGCTGCTGAGCGGTGCTGTTGGCCGCACTACCGTCCTGAGATCGTTCACCTTCCCTTGCTAGGGTTCGCTTAGGGCAGCTGGATCGAAGATGGCCCTTTTCCCCACAGCCATAGCACCTTGGGCTGTATCCTTTGTTGCGGTCGCGAACTGTAGCTGCTGCAACCTCCCTGACGCGATGGGAACGATGATCCTGCCGCACGGCTTCCACTTACAGCGCATGGGCCAAGGCGTCCTTAAGCGTCTCGTGGTGCCCGAGCCTCACAGCAGCTCTGACTTCCAGGTCGCGGATGCCGTCGATGAATGTCTGCACCAGGTTCCCTTCAATGAGCGCAGGTACAGACCGGTATGCTTTTCGCACCAGCTTCTCCACTTCTAGAGCCCACTGCTGCAGGTTTTCGTTGATACGCTGCACACGATCTTTAAGCTGCGCACGAAAGACGTGTTCCAGGTGAGCGTCGCCATATCTCGCCTCCAATGCCTCAAGGAGTTGCTCATAAGTCACTTCCTCACCGAGAGCTTCCAGAACTGTTAAGGGCCTGGTCACGCAGGCCTAGTGTGAGAGCAGTCATGGCCTGATTTTTATTCCAGCCGTTCGCCTTCATAACAGCTTCGAACTGGATTTTGTAGGCTGACCAGGAAGAAGTCCCGTCGAATGGAGGCACCTTGAACCCACGTAGCGAAGGTGTAGTAGTTACTACGGGAGCTGTAGTTCCCTCCCCAAGTTTGAGTTCGTCCAGCGTTTTCTTCACGTCAGCCATTACGTTGTCAACCCGATTGTTTACTTGGTCGATTCGGGTTTCAGCTTCCGACAGGCGGTTGTCATGTTGAGCAACCTTATCCTTCACCTCTCGTATCTCTTTTCCGAAGGTAGCGTGAAGGTCTTTCATAAGGAGCATCTGCTCTTCCTTATCGCGTTGGAGTTGCTCTTCTAAACGACGGGCCTGTTCCTCCTGCCGGCAGGCCTGGTCCTCCTGCCGGCGGGCCTGCTCCTCCTGTCCACCCCGCAGCTGCTCTTCCAATCGGCGGGCCTTTTCCTCCTGTCCGCGCTGCAGCTGCTGCAGCATCACCATCAGAGCATTTAAGTCAGGTGCCACAGACGTAGAAGCTGCTGACGGGCCGGCTTCCGTGGCCGGCGGCTGGCCCTCAGACATCTGCGGCGTTGCACCACCAAATCTCCTCTGGTCCGCGTCCTGCTGGCGTTGACTTCGGGTACGGACACCCTCCATCTCGTCCTTAGGTAAAATCGGCATGATTTTATCCCACTTCTGACACCAATTGTTACGAGCTTGAGGTTCGTGACAATAAAAATTGCCGATAAAATTACCTAAATTAACACTTTAATTTACTTTACACAAATTAAAACTTAAAACACTAATAATTAAACACACTAATTCACTTTATTCCGCTCCGAAGCTTCGCTTGTCTCGCCAAATCCAATACTGCCCCGATCGCATCTTGCAGCGCCTATATATACAAATTAGCAATGAAGCATCCGGAATATTCAAATAAATGCGCGCAAAGCGACGAGTGTTCGAGTATAGATTTTCTAGAAACTTAGTTCTTCGGATGGCGCTGTCGGTTGAAAGATTTGTGATGTCATTTTCTACAAAGCTCCCCTCGCTCTCGTTCCTGACACTAGATGGCGCTAGTGTATGACGTTGACTTATTCACGCAACAGTATTTTGCTTGACTTTGAAGTTGATGCTGGCTCAGATATTACAACTATAAACATCAGTGATAAAAATAAATATTTTCCTAATTTAAAACTAGAAGAGTCTTGCCTTACTATGATAAACTATAACCAAACAATTTCAAAACCAATTGGTATTTTAGGTAGTCTGTTTGTTGTTTATGATAAGGTATCTTGTCATAATTTATCTTTGGTCGTAGTGCCTGATGGCCCCCCAAGGATTATCGGTAAGGATTGGTTATCTCATCTGAAACTTTGGCCATTGAATTTAAAGCAAAATGTTAATATGTGTAAATTAAATGAAGATCAGTACATTTCTAAAATTAAAAATGACTTTTCTGCTGTATTTGAACCAGGATGGGGCAATTTCAAAAAAGGCCTCTATTTCTCTGAAACTTAAAACAAACACTATTCCTAAGTTTTTGCGAGCTAGAAGTGTTCCTTTTTCTTTAAAATCAAAAGTTGATAATGAAATCAAACGTTTATTAGAAAATGGTCGCATAGCCCCAATTGAGTTTAGTGAATGGGGAACGCCCGTAGTGCCAGTTCTTAAGAGTGATGGCTCAGTTAGATTATGTGGGGACTATAAAATCACACTTAACCCCCACTTAGTTATTGATCATTTCCCCCTTCCAACAATTAATCAAATATTAGCAAATTTTGAAAATAATGATTTCTTTTGTGAACTAGATTTAAAAGAAGCATATTTACAAGCACCACTTAATGAACAAACCACTTAATGGGAAAGTGGTGTGGGCAACACTCTCTCTCGCTCTCTGGACAAGTTAAGCGAATGTAAGTGTGTTCTAATAAAGTTCGTAAATTAATTAATTTCGCGTTTCAATGAACATATTAAATTATTATTATAACCTAGTAATATAAATAACTAGGAAAATCAAATACAACAAACCCTTAAGTTGGTTTGTGGTTTACACAACATTATAGATTTTATGAGCTTTTTGGTTTAATATTTTTAATTTTTGTGCAGTTACAAAAACCAATATATTTTCACCAATTTAGATAGAAATAGTTGTCGTAACGTAAAAGGGCTACTGTCTAATTTGAAATATACAACAGCATGCACCTCGTTGTACATTCCAAATTTGAAGAGGACTAAATTTGACTTGCAAGATTTAAACTAAACATATAGATATACATGTGGAGTTATAATATGAGCTTGTAAAATGGTAGCTGTTATTGACTGAAATTAAATAAGAGTGAAAAAAAAATTAAACTAAAAATTGTATAATATCCAAAAGACTTTCTGTTACTTAGGTTATAATTAGGATTATTTACTTGGCTGGGGGAACTATTAATAGGGAGCATGTTGCTGTTTCCCATTACCGGTATGTAGGATGCCCCGCTAATCTTTCTCTCCACAATTTAATAAGTGTGGCAAATCTTACAAAATATGTGCATCAGTTGGCGCATTGTTATAGAGGTTCTCTTTCTACCATTTAGATTTGTGGCGGCGCTGTCGTCGCGCCGCAAGCGAAACACACCGAAGCCTAAATCACGCTATCGGAATTCCGAATAATAAACAGTATATATAGAACATCTCCGAACTATCACACGGAGTGTCGGCCGCTCCCCGGGCAGAACACCTTGCCCGGCGGGAGATCTCCCCTTTTTCCTACCACGGCCACAGTGGTGACCCCGACGTGATCTGAACACGCAACCAAACAACCTTCGGAAACTTCAAGCTTCATTATCGTCATAGAATACCCCACCCATTCGCTCCCGAGCAGATATCGTCTGCAGTCTTCATATCCTGCAAGCCATCTAGCTTCACAAGGTTCATGGCAGCACTGGAATAATAATGCTTCCTGTTCCTTCAAGCTACTCTCTGCGCCATACAGTGTTCGACACGGCTCTGAGCCTTACTGCTCGCCTCTACTTCACGGCACTCTCGCAGATTACTTGCCTTCTTCTCGACTCACCGCAGACTACAAGGCAATCTCCTGGCACTTGCACATTATTTTGTTTATTATTTTAGAGAATTTTGATTAATAAAGAAAAACGTTATCTCTACACTCGGTTTTTCTTCTGTGTCGTAGGGACAGTTTGCACACGTAAATTTCACAAAGACAAACATTCAGACCCGTAACAATTATTTGTAGGCCATACAAATATTTGTTTCGTGCGGGATTCAAACCCGGCGCTTAGCACTGCAACTCGTTGCTAAGCCACTGCGCGACGGAGACGTCAAAAAATTAAGTTGTAAAATTCTGCTTAGAAAGAAGAAAGAACTGTCTTTTGTGTTCCGTATGGTGAGTGTAGTGAACCGGAGAACTTTTTACTGGAAACGAGGCATTCCATCTTAGTCCTAACGGGTGACAACGCATCTGCATTTTGATTCGTAATCGAGGATAGATTTAGATATCTATAGGCCACAGCATCCACTTATTATCAGGTGGACTGAGTGCTCGTTTGGTACTCTAATTCTATAATATAAAAAATGAATGCATGAACGGATGAAAACTGACCTTTAGGAGCGTAGAGTTGAGATGTATGAGGTAGTTGTAGAAATGCGCATGGGTCTGCGGGTCGCGCAGATGGTTGGGATCGCCGAGCGCGGCCAGCATGCGGCGCCACAGCACGGCCGCGACGGCAGGCAGCCAGCCGCGCGCCGACCCGCCCAGCACCACGCCCACGCCCACACCTGATCCCACAGCTCCGCCCTCCACACCCATGCCCATGCCCACGCCTGAACCGTTCTCGCTCTCTGCCCATTCTGTTATTTATTTATTTATGTAAGGACATCCAGAGGTTATGACATTATTACAATATTGAAAATAATACACAAACTTAACATTAAATGTAAAACCTATTTAAGGCAGCTACTTAGATAATCGTAAAATGCCAATAAATTATTTAATAAATATACCTGTTTTAAAATTCTATGGTAAGTGAAGCGAAATAGAGACCGTTTATTTTCCGACGCAAATGAAATAATTCATAAATCAAAATATTATCTCGTACTTATTATGTGAAGGGAATTCGTTACATTGTCGTTCCCGTACCGTCCGTCATAGATGTAGATTTTATCCTTCTGTACATGCCAGAAGAAAAAACAGAGAAGTAGAACGAAAAAAATAATATATTTATTTCTTCAAAGTAAAAAAAAAATTCTTTCGTCAAATGCCATTTTTTATTAACTAAATCTACTAACTTTTCGAAATGAGTATCCTCTGAACAGAGAATAAAAGGCGAAAGAAACACCGCGGTATAATCTTTTTGTCACTCTTTTAAGGTTTATATTTCAATTGGTAACTGCAGCATATTCAATGATGAACCCAAAAACCTTAAAATTTGGAGCTCATTATTGCACAGCAAATCCAAGCAGACTGCACCTGACAGCCATCGCTCTCCTTGACCATACTAAAGAGAATTCATCGATCAGTTAAATGATGCAAGCATAGACCTTTAAGAGAGCATAGCATACCAAAGAGAACATGACATATGCACTGAGATAAAATGTATTGTACACTTCCAAAAAAGACAACTTACTAAAATACTTATAACTTCCCATGACATCCCTTTTTTAAGAATTATGGTGACAAGCAAGCACACAACGCACCTGATGGTACGTGGATGCTGTGGTCCATAGACATCTACATCTATCTTGTTTAAGACTGGACTGAGATGGAATACCTAATATCCAATAAAAATATTCTCCGATACTCTATACTCACCATACGAAACACGACAGCATTGAGCTGCTATTTGACGCTGGTATTCTGTGAGAGCGTGCTCCTTCCCCGGTCAAGCCGACCCATTCGTGCTACAACTATAAGATAACTGCAGCATGACTCTACCACGTAAGAATTATTCTCTCCTAACCAACTACACAATTGGTTATTAGGATAATACGTAGTTACATATTATGTATTTTATACTACCAACGTATAAGTCACAAATTTATACAGCTTGGCGTTAAACTGGAATGATTCCATTCAAAGATATTTTGTCACTAAGAATAGTTATTCAAACTATAGTAAGCAAGTTATTACAATATATATTACAAATGCAGTCGGCTACTTATACTACAAGTTGATTATGAAGGAAGACAAAATTACAGACTAAGTAGTACAATAAGTAAACATTTTTAAATTTTTGAATGTAAATGTCATGTGTAATATAAATCCTTAAAGTAATTACATACATGCGCATGCATAGAGAACCTACAATTCTAAATAAATTAAGTCAATATACTTGTTTCTACAATTCAATTCTATTCTATTCTATTCTACAATTTATTCTCGCTTTTTATACTTGTAAACTTGTAAATGTTAAGAGTGAATTGTAGAATTGAAAGTTATTTCAAATAAGGAAAAAAAGACAACTGTTTTTGAAGGATGTTGCGTGTAATTCATGAGTGGAATTAGAAATATCTAGTGGTCATCTTTGGTCCCGTTTTACTATGCCAATAAGAGAGTAAGTACACTCTATCTTCTGAATTACTAGAGCAATTACATCCCTATTGTAGTAGTATTATATGTGATGTTACTTTACAAGACATGACGTCTTTAATCTATAGTGATTTCGTTCGTAATGTTCAATAATCGACTTCGAACTTATTATTATTAGAACGATCAAGTAAATTGTGTTCTAAATCAAGTTATGGTGATTATTATATTATATTGCAAATATTCCTTTCGCATACTTAAAAACTAATAGTTCGGGAGGTATGAATACTAAGTCTTGACAGACACGCGGTACATATGCGAGTTTGATCCCATTTTTAATCCCAATTTTATATGCTAACTAACGATCGGCCCGGCTTTCTAAATTTCGACACTGTTTTCTAAATTTCGACAACAACTTACCGGTTTGAACTGTGCATGTGAGTGTTCATTAAAATCAGTCTAGCCGTTCTCAAGTGAGGTTCTTTCATAGAGACGGCAATTGATTTTAATTATATATATTTACCACCTGCTTAGCGGAAAAACATCGACAAATTCAACCAAGTTTTTATCTGCTTGGATGAAAATTTCAAAATCATGAAGTTAAGGCAAGATCTTGATAATGGGGTGTAGCGGCGGCATAAAACCAACCACTACCTCCTACTAAATATAATGTAATATAATTGATGACTATTTTTACCGTCTGAAAAAAATAGGGTGTAACAGGTGAACCGAGTAGAAAGTGAAAAAATGTATACTGTGTGTTTTCTAAGAAAATAAAAAGAACAATAATTTTGAATTAAATAAATAAATTAGAGATGGGTACAATGTTAGTTTTATATTCGTATTCGGTATATTCGGTAGCTTTACTGAATATTCGTATTCTGTAGTACTCACAGTAAAGTGATACTCGAAGTGTCCACTGTATTGTACTTGTATGAAATGAGTAATGCCATGTGTCTCATAATTGTATTGTTGAAAGTATATTTTATTTCTGGGTTACTTGTGTACGTTGTGTTTTAGAGGCACTGTAGATTTATTTCCAATTATAGCAAATAGAAACCTTGATAAAATGTTTTTGGAATCAAACAAAGAAACATTACATTACATTAGTACCTACATTTCACTTTACTTTGGTCGTCAATTTCTCTAAAATAAGTCTAAATAGTAGATCGCCTGCCACTCATTTTTATCATATATTAATCAATATTTACTAAGAATAACACAAATACTTTTTTTCTCGCTAAAATAGTAAAAACATAAGCACGTGCCGGCAATTTGCTCAGTGTCAGTTTGTCATGATGCAATAACATGTCAGGTGTAGCGGGGGAGCGACGGGCAGGGTTCTGCGCTAATTCCGCGCGCTTTACAGTAACAAGTTTCGATATAAATTGGTTAGGTATCGAGGTGATCCTGCCTGTAAAAATTTTAGGCAAAGCTCCCGCGCGCCCACAACTCTCTTCAGTTACTTGTTGAGCTTAGCTGAGGCGTGACGTCGCGTCGCCATCGTATTGTTTATGTTTCCGCGTGTGTATCGTAAACATGAATCAATACTCTTATGTCGAGTATCTAACAATGACGAGCTAATTCGATGATAGGTGGATAGGTTGCGGTTGACCTGTGAAATAGGGCAAGATTACCAGACCTCTAGACCACTAGATTTTCATTTGTGGGCCGAACTGAAACGATTAGTGTACACAGAAGAATTACAAAGTGTTAGTGATTTAAAACAGCATATAATAGACGCATTTAAAATGATAAAAAGTGATAAAAACACGCTTTGAAGTTTAACAAACAATTTACATTTTGACATTTTGAACAATTACTGCGATATCACTAAAAAGGTAAATTACAATAATGTAGTATAATTTTGTAAATATCAATTAGTTTAGTTGGTGAATAAGTTGATTTCGACCTTTTAAATACGCCAAGATGTTGCATTTAATTCAAAAAGAGTAAGTCATATAATATGCATATACTACTAGTATGATACACACACACACACACACACACACACACACACACACACACACACACACACACACACACACACAGACACACACACACACACACACACACACACACACGCACACGCACACACACACACGCGCGCGCAGACACACACACACACACACACACACACACGCATGTACACACACACGCATGTACACACACACACGCATGTACACACACACGCATGTACACACACACACACACACACACACACACACACACACACATGTCACACACACACACACACACACACGCATGTACACACACACACACACACACACACACACACATGTACACACACACACACACACACACACACACACACGCACACGCATGTCACACACACACACACACATGTACCACACACACACACACACACACACGCACACACACGCGCCACACACACACACACACACACACACACACACACACACACACACACACACACACACACACACACACACACACACACACACATGTACACACACACACGCGCGCGCGCACGCACACACACACACACACACACACACGCACACACTCACACGCGCGCGCACGCACGCACATATAAAAATATTCACCTATTATATTATTAAGAAGCTCTAAGACCCCATACCATCCCGAAGCTTCATAAAAAACGACATAGGAAAATGAAACAGAAGATAGACAAATGTATGCTCCTGATAACAACTCAAAACATTAAGAAATTACGGTTGCCAAACCACTTGCTAAGAGAGGGAACTATGGCAAATATTCACACTACGTTCAGCAGAGGACTTTTGATAGGCTGTAATTAATGAATTAATGATGAGCAGTAAGAAGCTAGTGCGCACACACAAACGCACTCCTGAGTGACGCAATGCGCGACGGCTTCATCGCGTATCTACATATTGCGATTCTTTTTTGAATGACAACATAAACTAAAACCGCAACTGAAAGCTCCGTGGCGCAGTGGCTTAGCAATGAGTTACAGCGCTAAAAGCCGCGGGTTCGAATCCCGTACATAACAAATATATGTTACAAATACATGCAACTCCCCGAAGTATATGCCAGCCAGTGTCAGGATAACTGCATTTTCGACAGCGCGACTGATGTGAGTGGCGCTTTTATGTAGGTTAATTAAATAAATAAAAATGTTAGTTTGTAAATTGTTTATTGATTGTTTGTGTTCAATAGCGGTTTGCAATATTCTCTTAGTACTTAGAAAGTTATCAACAATAGGAATTGTGTCACTGCAGGGACAAGCACAAACGTCTACCAAAATAGTAACGTACCTAAACGGAATAGGACTAACAGCACAGACTTCCTTACAGAAGTCCAAAGAACACGTCTAGACAAGGTAAGTAATTAGAAGAAAACTACAATTTAGAGATCGATTGTAAATCAAATTCACAGTACAGACACAATTAGCGAAATATAAATAAAATTTTGAATTATTTTATGATAGTAGATAACGCTAGTTGAAAACTAAACACTGTATGGGAATGACATCACTGAACTACTGGTGGTCAGTCCAAACAAATAAAAGGCGCGATTGTAGAAAAAGATTCGTTACGAAACGTTTCTAGGCTAGGGGGCTTGACCTGTTTATGCTATTCATAACGAAGGCTATAAAATATGTACAACTTAGAAACTAAATCCTATGTGTACTTATCTGTATCCAATATCTGATATCTAAGGTAGGTTGATGCGCTCCTTAATTTTTATATAGTTCGTATTTTTCTGTAATAGGTATATTAAATCTAAACCAAAATATATACTATAATACCATAGCAAAGCTACTACTATTTTATTTAGTAGTAGCTTATATAGTAGTATAGTAAATTAAGTATATATAAAAATATGAGTATGTCTAAGGTAAGATTAAATATAAACAAATATTTGCCAAGTGCGAATCCGACTTCCGAGCTTCCGTACCATCTTACAAGATTTAAATATACATATTACTATCGATCAAAAAAAGCCAAAAATACACGTTTATTTTTCTAGTAGGAAACCCTTTAATTTCAAATTTTCACACGTTCTGTAAAAATTACAACCATCTACCTATTACGGATCATGAGATACAGCCTGCTGACAGACAGACACACGGACAGCGGAGGCTTCGTAATAGGGCCCTGCTGGTTACTCTTCGGGTACGGAATCCTAAAAAGTACGTAGTTGTCCACTCACATCTGTATGGTTCTTTCTTCAAAGGACGATTAGCCACCTGGCCTGGTTCTCCTATGACGTGACCTATGTAATACCTGGACTGACATCTCTGAGTTTGTTTCGGCAGATCGGGTGCTTCTTCTCAGTTTTATGTTTTTGTTGTGTTAAAGTGTTTTTTAAAAAAACAACTTACAAAACAAATTTTATTTATCATTGACTGCCCTTCTTAGATTCTTATGTAAAAGTAAAGTAAAGTTACAGCCTATATACACGTCCCACTGCTGGGCACAGGCCTCCGCACATTTCTGAGAGGGTTTTATGCCAAGTAATTGTCCGCCGCGCTGCCCCAATGCGTGTTGGCGAACTTCACGTCTTCGAAATATATTTTTTTCTTATTTCTCTGACATGCAGGTTTCCTCACGATGTTTTCGTACTGTCGTACCGCTAACTGAGCATGTACTACGATATCGAACCTTAAAATAGATAATTTAAGATTCGTCGGCTTATCAATGAATGTTTTCGTTAGTTCAAATTAAAGTAGTTAAGTACCTAATGAACTACAGGTAGGTACATAATAAGTTCATTATTATGTACCTACCTGTTTTCAATTTTAACTACATGTGCTTCAACAAACTTATGGGTACATTTTACCAGCTACATTCATCCCGGCTTCAGCAAGTGGACACGAACAAAAGGAAGCAAGTTTTCTAAATAAAGATGTAGATATGTAGGTATTCTTGGTTTAATACTCAAAGGCAGCGGCTAACCTAGTAAGCATGTGTGAGTGCGCGCTGCGCCCCCCCCCCCCTCCGTCCGTCCCACTGATCGGGGAAACGATTTGTAGCGAAAGGCAAGATTATTTACAACAAAAAGGGGCGCGCGAAATTTTATAAACAGACCTTTGGTAGTCTGGATGTCATGAAAAATCTATTGAATGTATCTGTTTAAAATAAAATTATTTGCATTTTTGAACAACTAATCTATCCCTGTATGGTAACTGTTTTTCAATTTTCGTTCTTCTTATGTATTTATTTCCGCCCAAAGATTTGTTAAAACTAGTATTGAAATTTGGAATTTTCGACGCTTATAATTTTTAAACATACTCTTTTTTTACTTTTTTATTTCCATACAGGGCTAGATAATGATGAGACGTATTGAAATTATTTTTTATTTTGAACGTACACCATCAAACAGTGGAGTAATCGCCAGACTACGTTTGTATGGAAGAATAAGCGACTAGTGTACCCTTAAGGGTAATTTGGCGGAAATATACCGGCTGGATTTAAGTAAATTTCATAGTGACCTTTTCACAATATATTTTAAATTATACAATGATAGTACGAAATTTCGCATTATTCGACTACGTTTCTGTTGATAGATGTCAGATGAAGCTTCCACAAGTTTTATTGATATAAATAAGTATTACGAACCGGACTAATAAAAGTCCCTAATTTTACTAAGTCAGACTAAATGAATTTATCGACAATGTTTTCTGTTTCGCTAATGGCACATCAATAGAGGTGTCTATGGAATGTAAAAACTACAACAGTCTTGTAAAAGAAAAAAGGTGAGAATAATATAGCTATCTTATTTTGTACCATGGAGTTAGGAATCTCTGGAATAGTGTCCCAGAAATATGGACAAAATAAGTGAGGCGCTGCGATTGCTAAGTTCTCTCAATAAGTCATTTTCAATCTATTTTCCGATCAGATGCTAAATCACTTGCGCATCCATGCACAATAAAATTTTTCTCTATTTTGTAATGTTTCTTTTTGTCAAAAATTAAAAATTAACGAGCACGATTAATTTCGCACCAATGCGGCGAAAAAAATTTGTACATTATTCAACTAACTTCATCTACTTGGCGGCGGCAGTGCCGCTATAAATTCTACAAATTTTCAGGGACAGGAGGGCTATGCTTTAGTACGTAACGATCGTTCTCCTCTCTAACTTCCATGTTTTGTACCATGTTAAACGTCATGTGTATAGAGTTTAGCTATAAGAATTTTGTTCTTATTTTAGGACTCGAATCTCTATTCTACCAAGCTAATAATTATTCTGACTATAAATCAATATTTTTCCACTAAATATCAAATATGACTTATACCACAACATATATTTAATTACACTATGTAGCTTTTAATATTTGAAAACAAACTCGATTTCTGATTTCCATATAAAAGTTGTATATTATAGTTTGTGTAATATGTTAAAGTTACATCCCACAGCTAGGCACACTCTCACTTCTAAGAGGGTTTACGGGCAAAGGAAGTGTTCGCCATGTTGCCCTAATGCGTGTTGGCGGGCTTTACATGTCTCGTAAATTATTTTTTATTTCTCAGACACGCCGGTTTCCTCAATATGTTTTCCTTCACCACGGAGTACGTGGTAAATCAGCGCTTAAAATTGTAATGTAAAACAATTTCATTGTTGACGGCGGGAATGGAACCTGGGTTGCTCGCATACTGTGAAATTTATAGCGAGCGTTAAGCCCCTGCGTAATATGATCAGAAAATAAACAAGTACAATACTAACCAACATTACCGCCATCAGAAGCTAAATCTATTTGTAGTGGGGAGTCTTTAATAGAGCTACTCTCAACTCCGCTAGATGGCGCCGGTGAAGGGGAGCGAGAACCTAGAAAAAATACGCATATTAAAAAATGTGATGCAAATTTATTGGACATTATGAATAGGCAGATTTACCACTAGCGGAATCCCTATCTTCATGATGTGATGACTGCCGCAAGGAATCCAATGAGTACCATCTTCTTGGTTTTGTGTTGGTTTGTTCTTTGGTTTCTTCGACTAAAAACAAGAAAATCAATTAGAAGTTGTAAGTTTTTTAAAACAAACTAATACAAAAGGTAACTTATGAGACTTGAAAATTAAGTATCCCATTTAATAGAGAAAATTGCTACGTCTCCATCGTCAGCTTGGGACTTTATAAACAATAAAATGAAATTCAAACCCAGCCATAACTTTACAAGAACTTAAAGTACTACGAATTAATTGTGCATAAGTTGGACCAAAATATTAAACAAAAGCTAAAGGTAATCTGAAACTATGTACTCCGCCCAGAAGAAGTGAAACTGCTCACTCTCTTACGGCTAAGCAACTCCTTCAATTCATTTAAGACATAGGGCTTAGCAGTGAACTATAGCCACAATCTGGCGTTCGTCAAGGATGTATAATCTCCCCACTTCTATTTAACATCTACACAGAGCTAATAATAAGACGCACTCTCGAGAACTGGACTGATGGAATCTCAATTGGAGGGCTGAAAATCTCGAACTTACGATACGCGGATGACACTACCCTATTTGCGACTAGTATCGGCCAAATGGAAGAACTCCTACAAAGGATGGAAAACGTCAGTCTTGGATTCGGCATTCGGATCAATCGCAGCAAAACTAAAGTTATGATTGTCGATCGCGTCAACAATAACTCGCCGGAAGTGACACAAATCGCGAAATGTCAAGTAGTCCAATCATACATTTATTTAGGAGCGCTAATTTCGAGCAACGGGGGCTGCATAGATGAAATAAAACGACGTATGGCGATATCTAGGACAGCCATGGATAAGTTGCGGAAGATATGGAGGAACCGTAACATAACAAAAGCCACTAAGACCCGGTTAGTTAGAGCGCTTGTGTTCCCCATATTCCTCTACGCTTCGGAAACATGGACCCTGCGAGAAAGTGAGAAGAAGAGAATAGACGCTCTCGAGATGTGGTGCTGGAGAAGAATGCTGAGAGTGTCCTGGACCGAATTCCGGACCAATAAGTCCATTCTCGAAGAACTCCGCATCAAGCAACGTCTGTCATCTATTGTGCAAGCTCGCATACTCACTTTCTTTGGTCACGTGTCTAGACGTAATGATATCTCGATTGAACGTCTAGTGGTCCAGGGAAGAGTAGAGGGCACTAGAGCGCGTGGCAGATCGCCTATGAGATGGACAGACCAGGTGAGGGCTGCGGTGGATGTCCCGTTGCATGAGTGCACAAGAAAGGCAGCTGTTAGGGAGGAGTGGAGGCGTATTGTAGAGCGTGCCACAACACCCAAGTGACGACCACGACCGCTCTGTCAAGAGCGTATCGACTGAGAAGAAGAAGATAGCCACAATAGATCTTTTAGGTCGCAGTGATACGGGTCTCTTTCCCTAGACCTGCATAGCTAATCGCACATAAAAAAAAATAAAAAGGTTTTCTGGTTTACTATGGTTTTTTACAGTACATTGGGCAAACGTGCATATACGGCTCACTTGATGATAAACAACCACCGCTGCCCATGAACAACTGTAACACCAGCGGAATTGTAGGTGCTTTGCCGACCTTCTAGAAAAGAGTAAGCTCTTTTCTAGAAGGTCCCTAAGTCGTATCGGTCCGGAAAGATCGCCGGTGGTAAATTCCACAAAGAGGTTGTGCGAGGAAACTCCAAGCATCCAGATGGTGTGGTGTGTATCAGGACATTGAACATTTAACTTAAGTCTTTAGAGGTGATTATGGGAAATTCTAGAAAAATCTTATGCTCTTTTTTATACGACAAGGTGACAAACGAGCACACAGTTCACCTGATGGTAAGTGGATGCTGTGGCCCATAGACATCTACGATTTCGATTACGAATCAAAATGAGGACTAAGATGGAATACCTCGTTTCCAGTAAAAAATGGTCTCCGGTTCTCTACACTCACCATACGAAACACAGCAGCATTAAGCTGCTATTTTACACAGGTATTCTGTGATAGTGTGCTCCTTCCCGGGTCGAGCCGACCCATTCGTGCTTACCACATATAATTTCCATCAAGTTTACGTCAGACGTAAAATACTTAAACCGGTGACCGGTAGCACAAAGGCGCGAGACGTCTGCTACTGCGATCGTCCGCCAAACGTGACAATGGCAGGAATTTTACGCGCTAATAAAGAAAAGAAAGTGTTGTATATGGGAAAACATTGGAATTAAATAAAACTATTATTTACGGATTTTATCGCGTTTAATTACTATCACGTCAAACATCTCAGCCCCCACCCCTCCCCCGTGACCATGGGTTCTGTAAAGCACCCGAAACGTCGGGATAATAAAAATAAGTTAAAGTAGTAATTAAACGTGATAGAATCCGTAAATAATAGTTTTATTCAATGTGTAGTGTTCACGTAAATTTAAGAAATAATTAATCATTAGAATATCAATACGCTTACCTGTGACAACGTGCAGGTGAAGTTGCGTGTGCCTTGCTATGTGCGGGTCGCTGCGGCAGCGCTGCAACTGACGACCTCGAACAGTCTCCTTGCGTCCATGCGTATCACTACCAGGCCGTGGTGATTTTCCTACGTGATATAAAAATAATGGGTGCGTTTGGCAGAAAAAAGCGCTAGTAAGCGCTTATAAGCGCTGAAATAGTTTTCGGCAAGGACACGATTGCTACTTCAGTAGCGCTGACGCAATCCGCCATTTTGCTTATTTAATTTGTTTGTTTTGAAGTAGAGTTTATAAGTTGTTTTGGGCAATATTAGTTTTAAGTAATATAATGATATGAATAAACATATACATGTTATTAAAAATTCATGATTGGTAAGTTTTTAATATGAATATTTTACAAACATATATTTAAATTAGGTTAGGTTCCCCGGTTAAAACTAACATCGTGTCCTGGAGGAAAATAGCTACTTACGATTTGACAGCGCTTACCGCTTACGATCGCCATTTTGCTTACAAGCGCTTGCTAGCGCTTTTTTCTGCCAAACGCACCCAATAACATGTAATTTTCTTTAACTAGATTCGAGAATATAAACTTGTTCTGGTCGACTGAGAAAAATGTCGATTCCACGATACGTGCATAAGAGATTTTCTACCAAACATAAAAAAGGACGAGGGTTTTAATCTTACTGTATATTTTTTTCTTTTTAATTAAAACTTTAGTCTACATTCTAGTTTTGACTTTGTGATATTCCCCTTCCATCATACAGTTTACTCAAAAGTTAAAATTTTAATAAAAAGCGAAAGCTAACTCCAAAGAACTAAAAGTCAGTGTTAAAACGTAGCGTTTAAAAGAATTTATGTTCCGATTTCAGAAGCTATTATGTCGAAGTTATTTCATTCTTTTTAGTTTTTATTTTTTTAAATACAGTAATTTTATTATGATAGTAATGTTGACGAGTTCAAGTAAACATATTCAATTTCAGCAGCCTTAAGTGTGTGTATCATCATCATTACCACGTAATCACATAGTTATCATCATCATCATCATCATCATTACAGCCCTTCACAAGTCCACTGCTGAACATAGGCCTCCCCCAAGTAATGCCACAAAACACGGTACTGAGCCATCAGCATCCATCGACTACCTGCATGTCTTACCAGGTCGTCACTCTATTTAGGGGGGGGTACACTTCGCCTACCGGTATGAGGCCCACTCGAGAACCTTTTTTCCCCATTGGTTGTTGGTTCTTCTTGCTATATGCCTTTCTATAATTGTTAAAACTTGTAAAAAACTATAAAAAACTAATGGAACTTACATGTCTCAAAGTTAACTCGCATAACTGTTGCACGTCTTAACATTGATTTTATTCATTTTAATGTTTTCCTATTAGTATTAATGATTGCAAAAAGTTAACTTGGCTTACCTCGCAGGTTTAGATTCTTGGTCTGCGAGTAACAGTTGTGCAATACAGGTGCAGCAGTTTGGTCTGATTTAAGTTGTGTAGTTCATGAGAGAAAGATAGTACTCGCGCAGATGAGTTATATATCTTTAAATTACTTGAAGTCAAACTACATCCTAACATGTTTTAGGATATTATGTTTCAATTCGGATTCCTTCGTAACATATATTATTTATAGTCAATCAAATCTAAGAAATACCTTTCGACGTTTCACATTAATCATTCTGCAATAACTTTGCATGAGCGTACTTACACGATTCAAAATAACCTATTACGTAAATCCGAAGAATTATGAAGTTGTCTATATTTCATTACGTGTATAGTTTTTTATCACTAATTTAAATTTGAATTTCCCAAACAAAGCAAAATATTAAAAAATAACCAGTATTAACTTTTTTTACTTGACGTCGTTTCAATAACATGTCGCTATTTATATTACCATAGTGTTTGGATGATTAAAATTCATTGTTATGCGAATCAGCAAAATAATTAAATAATCTGTAAAAATATTCTAATAATCGAATCATTAATTTTTTTAATGTATTATTTGATTAATTTAATTTTTATTTTCAAAATTCCTTAAATTACATGAATCATGAATAAAACTAGTTTTTTTTTTTACTTTGTCAAAGTAAATTTCTGTAGACAAAAAACTCATATACAAGGCCGTGCTAAAATAACCACTACATAATTTCAATATCCCGCCATTTCGATACCAATTACTCGACTCCACAGAATCAGTAATTCATTTTTGAAGCGATGTATACGCTTTTATAACAAAATGCCAGAAAATATACAAAATTTGACGTAAGTACATATAGTTCAAAAACTTTATTATGCTAAGTTTGTATAAAAAGGGTTATTTTAATATTAAGGAATTTATGGATGATATTTAGCCCTGGGAAGGTTGATCGCTACCAAGCTGTTTCTAATTTGTTTTGTGTTGTTAATTTGTAACACGCATGATTGTAAGCTCTTATTTTTTTTTAAAACGTCCTGTTGGGTTTCTTGCTGGTTCTTCCCAGGACAGAGGTATTTTTTGCGAACCAGTGATAAATGAAAAAAGTGACTTTCAATAAGTATTATTCATAATCTATATTGAATAAAAAAGTTTCTGTTTCTGTTTCGAGAGCTTACTGTGCGTAATTTTATGATTTTTTGTTTGTCTTCTTATTTTGTGACTCGGCTTTAACTTTTTGGACTGTTTCTTTTATAATAACTTTTTGTACGTGGTAGAGCCACGCTACATCTATATTATAGTTGTAGCACGAATGGGTCGGCTCAACCAGGGCAGAACCACTTTCTCACAGAATACCAGCGTAAAATACCAGCGTAATGCTGATGTGTTTCATATGGTGAGTGTAGAGAACCGGAGACCCTATTTACTGGAATCGAGGCAATACATCTTAGTCCTCAGGGGTGACAACGCATTTGCATTTTGATTCTTAATTGAGGATAAATATAGATATCTATGGGCCATAGCATCCACTTACCATCAGGTGGACTATGTGCTCGTTTGTCACCCAATGCTATAAAAAAATTCGTTGAAGCATGTGCCTATGTCACAAAGCATGATTTGGCAAAAGTGGTAGAAAAAAAAATTGATTATTGATAACTTTGAAAGAGATATTAATTTTGACTGCATTATTGAAAATCAAATAATACTACTAGTTGTACTGAAAGTCATTGAATAAATTTATTTCGAATCTAGTTTTAATCATGAAGAATCTCCGGGAGGAAAACCGGCGACGAGGTTCACCACCCGTCACGTTCTGTCTTCCGGAGGGGCGAAAAGTGGATTGCGTAAGCCCATCAGGCTACGTTGAATGTATGTTTAGCAATTAATGATAAGATGAATGAAGTTTGCGATATGATGTATGATAGAGGAATAGATATGTTATGTGTAAATGAGATGAAGCGGAAGGGAAATGATGTCGCTACACATGGCATGTATACCGCGTACTGGGCTGGTGTAACCAAGGTCGAGCGGGCATGCCACGGAGTCAGTATGATCCTTTCAGAAAGAATGGGTCAATGTGTGAAAGAGTACGAATGTGTAAGCCCGACACTGCTATGGATATGGATGAAAGTGGGCCTAAAGAAGTTGTTTGTTCTTGGGGCCTACGCCCCAGACATGTCTAAGCCCACTTATATCCGAGAGCAGTCTTGGGAGATGGTAAGAATGGTGTTAATCAAATGTAAGGAAAATAAAAATATTGTTATGTTAGTGAAGAGGCTTGGTTATGAAAGGATATTAGAAACGTTTGGTGATAAAAGTATAAATGAGAATGGTGAAAGCCTGCTCACTGTATGATGTGTGGAAAGTAACCTTTTTGTGACGAACACTTTCTTTCGCCACAAAAAGATTCACTGATTCACACACACGATTTGGGAAAGAGGCGATGATAGATTTCATTATTGTGGATGAAAGAATGAGGAGCGCAGTGGTAGATACGGTGGCGCAAGGGTTTACCGGGGGGTCCAACGTAGGAACAGATCATTATTTGGTTTTATGCCGAATTAATGGTCTATTCAGACGTTGGCGCCATTGGACATCTGTGTCTGCTACTGCCTTATAGCGTATTAGAACGGAAAGGTTACAAGATGAAGGTGTGAAATCAAGTACAAATGGACTGAAAGAAAATATAAGTAATTTGAACGAATTATGTATGAATGAGTTAGAACTTCGGTTTAAAGACGAAGAATATATGGCAAAATGTTAAGAAGGGTTCAGTGGATGCAGCTACCGAAGTATGTGGTGTTAGTAAGAGAACAAATGAAAGGAAAAATAATACATTATGATGGAATGATGAGGTACGTATGTGAGTAGAAGCAAAGAAAAGAGCATGGCTAGATTTAATAGCAATAAAGGCTGGTATTTCTGGCAGTATAAGAGTAAAAGAAGTAGTTGAAAGGAAAAAGTAGGAAAGAACGGATAAGAAATAGAAGCACGTCGTATAATTTCCAGGCAAATATTAAAATATATTTTTTTATAGGATAAGGTGACAAACGAGCACACAGTTCACCTGATGGTAAGTAGTTGCTGTGGCCCATAGGCACCTACATATATCCTCGATTACGAATCAAAATGCAGATGCGTTGTCACCCGTGAGGACTTAGATGGCTCGTTTCCAGTAAAAAAGGTCTCCGGTTCTCTATGCTCACCATACGCATTAAGCTACTATTTGACGCTGGTATTCTGTGAGAGCGCGGTCCTTCCGCGGTCGAGCCGACCCATTCGTGTTACAACTATACTACTAATATAACTGTAGCATGGCTCTATCAATGTTCTGGAAACTCGTAAGAACTGCCAGGGGACATTCAAAACACTTAACCAACATATGATGAATGCTATAAGAGACGAGAGCGGCTATATTCTGAATGATGAAGTCTTGAGTTAAAAGAGATGGAAGGAATATTTTGAGAGATTGATTATGAGTGAGGAGACGACGTATGATCTAAATTAAATAGAAATTCCGAAAGAAGAGGATAGGGATAGGGAGAAGTATAGATGAAATAATGAAAGCAATTAAAAGCATGAAAGAAGGTAAGGCAGCCGGATTTGATAGAGTTTCACTCGAAATGCTAAGGGCTGGAGAGGAAGTGGTGGCAGGCCTGATGTACTGCTTGTGTAACTTATGCTGGGAACGAAATATACAAAGAACCCATTATATAAAGGAAAAGGGTCGCATCAAGACTGTAAAACTACTGTGGTATCAGCCTTCTTAGCATTGTGGGAAAACTGTATGCTAAGGTACTAATTGAAAGGGTCATGAAAGAAACTGATGGAAAAATTTGCAAAGTGCAAGCAGGATTTAGAAAGGGAATGGGGTATACGGACTAAGTTTTTTCCATGCGCATGATCGCGGAGAAGTTTTTGGCCAAAAACCAAAAAGTATTTTATGTGTTCATGGACCTGGAAAAGACTTATGACAGAGTGGACAAGAATGTGTCATGGCAAACACTGAACTCATTTGGGTTGGTACAGGCATTAAAGTCTCTTTATAGGGACTCTAGTGTCGACCAAATTGGCGATATGACCAAATTAGGAGTACCGAGAGTAGAGTAGAGAGCATGTATGCGTAGATATATGGATGTGGAGGAGGCGATAGGGGTGTGTCAGGATCGTGCCAAATGGAAGTTTGTAGTCTCTGCCTACCCCTCTGGGTGACAGGCGTGAGTGTTTATGTTTCATCATCATCATTCTCTAAACCATTTCCCATTATCTGGGGTCGGCGCAGTAAATCTTCTTGTTCCATTCCTCTCTATCAGCCGTCATTTCCATACTTACTCCTTTCATTCTCATATCACTCTTCACACAATCGATCCATCTTTTATTCGGCCTTCCTCTGCCCGTGTGTCCCTCCACATTCATATTCAACACTCGTTTTGTGACATGACTTTCATCCCTCCGCATCACATGCCCAAACCATGCCAATCTGCTTCCTCTCACCTTTTCTACCACTGGCGCTACTTTCAGGCTTCCTCTTATATACTCATTCCTTATCTTATCCATCCTTGTCACACCACACATCCATCGTAACATTCTCATTTCATTCGCATGCAGTCTATTTTCATCCTTCTTCTTGACGGCCCAGCATTCACTTCCATACATGACGACAGGTCGGATGATCGATTTGTAAATTTTCCCCTTCAGCCTTATTGGCATTCGGGGATCGCACGTTGTGGCTGTGACCTGTCGCCATTTCATCCACCCTGCGTTAATCCTATGCTGCACAGCTCTATCTATTCCGCCGTCGCCTTGAATGAGGGAACCGAGGTACTTGAAATCTGAGCAGGTAGGCAGTATAGCGCCATCCAACGACATGGGTACAGGACTGGAAAGACCGCCGAAATCACAGCACAGATATTCGGTTTTGGATCTGCTGATCTTCAAGCCAACACTTTCCAGCCTCTGTTGCCACCCCGTCAGTCTGCTCTGTACCTCGATGCCTTCTTCCCCGACAAGCACGATGTCATCGGCAAAGAGCATGCACCAGGGTGCCTCATCCTGCAGGTCCGACGTCAAAGCGTCCATAATCAGTAGGAAGAGGTAAGGGCTCAATGCCGACCCTTGGTGCAGCCCTACCGCCACATCGATACTGCCCGTAGTTCCCGCGGCAGATCGTACACATGTACGGGATGCTCTGTACATAGCACGGACTAACCTCACATACTTCCCAGGCATACCTTTCATCTTTAACGCCCACCACAAAACCTCACGGGGAACCCGATCGTACGCCTTTTCAAGGTCGACAAAAACCATGTGCAGATTTTTATGCACGCGCTTGTACTTTTCGCACAATTGGCGTAATGCGAAAATGGCATCTGTCGTACCTCGACCGGGCATGAATCCGAACTGGTTTTGTGTTATCTCACACTCTTCTCTCATTCTTTTCTCTATTATTCTTTCCCAGACTTTCATCGTATGTGACATGAGTTTTATTCCCCGGTAACTGCTGCAGTTTTGAACGTCTCCTTTGTTTTTAAAAATGGGGACCAGTATACTACTGCACCATTCCTCAGGTATTTGTTCTTCCTGCAACAATTTACCGAAAAATAAACTCAACCACTTCCATCCATCCGCACTCAGCAACTTCCACACTTCTACTGGTATTCCATCTGGGCCGACCGCCTTCCCATTCTTCATATTCCTAACAGCCATTCTTACTTCTTCCACACTAATTTCTCTCACTAAGCCCATATTCACTGGTGGATTTTCAAGCATACCATTCCATTCATTCTCCTCATTCATCAATTTCTCAAAATACTCCTTCCATCGCTTGTTTATACTTTCATCGTCAGTCAAAATCCTTCCAGAATCATCTTTTATACATTTTACATGTGAAACATCTCTTCCATTCCTTTCTCTCGCTTTTGCAATTTGAAAAAGTCGTTTTTGACTTCGGGCTTTCAAGGGACCGATATAATTTATCTTGCGCCTCTGCCCTACAAATAGCAACTTCCTTCTTTGCTCTCTTCTTACATTCTTTATACGCCCCTCTCTTACTTTCTTTTATGGAATCATTCTGGTCTTCTACGCTCTGCCATTCTTTAAAGGCATTTTTCTTTTCTCTCAAACTTCTCTAATACTTTCACTCCACCACCACCCATCCTTATCTATCATACGCTTCCCTTTTGTTTCTCCTAACACCTTCCTTGCCACACTTCGGATACAATCAGCCATTTCCTTCCAGCACTCATTCACACTCATTCCTTCCATATCACCCATCTCTATCATCTTGTTTACAACTAGCTCTCTAAATTCACTTGCATACTCCTCCTTATGCAACAAATGCCACTTTATTTTGGGTGGGGGGCGATCCTTATGTTTGTTGAGGCGAACAGTTAAGCAGATGTCAGCCAGCAGAATTCGGTGCTGGGATACTAAGTCTTCACCTGGAAGCATGTATGTTAAATATATTTTTACTTTAAAACAAAGATGTTTAAATTTATCAGTACAGATCAGCAAGTTCATACTTTAACCGCTAATATTATGTATTATTGCATGTTGTCTTTATTTAACAAAAATATTATTTTATGACAGCCACTTAATGAAATCAAGCAAGCTACTACAAGTACTAGCTTCACTCGTTTACTATCAAATGAAAGTTCTTAATGATTCACATTTTGATTTCGATTTAGAACCACTGCAATTATTAATAGACTATTTTAAAACTTTCGTAAAATGGAACAAACGGTCAAGCTACCAGGCGTGCACGCGTCAGCTGCGATGAGCGCGGGGCGCACGCGGGGCAACGGGCGCGGCAATGCAGCGGGCGCGGGTGCTGCCCGCCCCCCCCGCGCCCCTCGCCCTCGCGCCTCCCCCGCGCCACCCGGAACGCCCGCCGCGCTCCCACTCTCTGACAGTTCCAGCGAATACACGTGCCGCGCGAGCACACGCGTCAAGGTCTCCATCGTTTTCTGGAAATAGTTTTTTTTTATAGAATAAGGGTGACAAGCGAGCACACGCCCTACCTGATGGTAAGTGAATGCTTTGGCCCATAGACATCTACATCTACTCTCGATTAACATGTATGCTCGATAAGGATACATTTGACGGGTTGAGCCGAGCAGGCGTCGACCGTGCCGGTTGGAGGTCGGCAATTTAGTCTGGAATAATTTTTGTGCGCTACGGCCGTGCCGGTTGGAGGTCGGGAAGTTAGTCTAGAACAATCTTTGTCGTATACGTGACAACTAGGCTTTCCTTGAGTTTGAGTTATTAATTTAACTTCGATTGCCATTAATTTTCGTCGACGCGTGGCTTGTGTCGTATTTTAATATCGTACGAAGTAATTTTGCTTGTCGTTTGGAACGCTAAACTTTGTGACCCGGGTGGAGATCGCGTTCGATTATAGTTTGTGCTAAGTGACGTTAGACTCGAGTTCAGATAGCGGTGAACGCCCACTGGAGTGATTGCGCCTTGTGGAGCGGGGCAACGCATGTGGTTCTGCTGACCGATTACATCGGTGACGTCAGGTTACATTACACACCTTCCTACACCACTCACACCTAACATTTACTTGCCCCTGACGGTATCTTGTGGTCGACCCTACCTCCGGAACTCGTTAAGTTTGTGTTTGCTTATACAGCCATTATAAATTACGAGTTGGGTTACGATGGGCCCTAGCCCACTCGACTTTTGTCGGGGCAACTGAGGGCCGTAACAATACACTTGTGACTAAAGCGGGCTACATACGACACGATATCGGTGGCGATCTAGGGTGGAGTAGTGGGGATGCCTCCTAGATTGCCTCTAAATCGTGTCGTATGTAGGGCCATCCTAAGTCGTGGCCGATATCGCCTCCTTAATCGGCTGGCAGGAGCAAAAATGCTTCCTAGATCAGCCGATGCTTCCTAGATTGGGGCACCGCCCCCTCCTTACTGCGTGTGTGTAGGCGCATCGGCCCGATTTCGTTTGGCAGTCGCTGCCGGCAACCCTCGCGGAAGGAAGTTAACAAAACAGTGATACTGAATGACCTTTTTTATATAACAAAATTTTTACATTTTAATCATATAAACGGAGTAGAAGCCTATGGCACTGATATTTTACAAAAAACCAAAAAAAGTGAATAAAATAAATAAATTAATTGAAATTTTATCGAAATTCAAATCATATCCACCCTAGCCTGTGACCCTGAGAAGTGACATGGTCAAGAATGCCTACTAAACTAATTTTTTTATTGCCGTTCGTAAAGTAGAGTGTATGATGTAAGTAAGGAGAAGATAAAGCCTCTCCTCAACAACTAACTCCTATTCCAACGCTATCAACACAAGACCGCACTCATATCTCTTACAACTCCACAAGACCACACTTCGATCTCTTACGTGCCTTCATCCTCTTATCAACAACTAACTTCTACTCCTTCACCATCTCCACATCAACAAACAAGTTATATAAAAGGGAGTATGTCCGAAATTAAAGGTTTCTTTATGTTTAAAAAAAAGATATAAGCTATTTTATTTTCTGATAGTTTTACTCCATAAATAAAGATTACATAAAAAAAAGTATACATATTATTATACAAAAGTATTTTATTTCCTTGTTTGTTGTGTGTAATACATAACCAGATTTTGACCAAAGCAGAAATGAACAAAGAGAAGAAATAACTAAATAGCATAGGTAGGAGAAATTGACGTTTTTATATAAGTGGCGAAATCATTTCTAGAAGGTTATAAAAACTGTCTTCATCCATCCGGAGAAAATTAATCACGTCCTTGGATTACAGGCCATTTAGTACGTTTATGTGGCTTAATTTTTATCTCTTTTGGAGCCATTTTTTCACCCAGCAACTTCTCTTTTTCTATTTTCGAATAAATTAACCGAGATGGCTAATGCCAAACCAACACGGTGGTGTTTTAAGAGAGTCGGAGGTATTTTGAAGAACTCTACCGCATATGCATTCCGCTCCAAGTCCGAACGCGTACTGCTAGGCAGGCCCGTGTGTAAGGTCTACCCCGATAAAAGCCCCGATTTCTTTCCACCCTAGATCGCCACCGATATCGTGTCGTATGTAGCCCGCTTAACACAACGCGCGACGCCTGCTCGGCAATGGTACACATATTACTACCTATATAATGCCATACTATTACCTACTAAGAATTTATGAGGGCAAACCCGACAAAAAAAGGTTCGAAATTTCATACAGATAAAAATTAATTTCTTTTTTAATATTTTGGTATGAGTAACGAATAGAAACACATAGTACATAAAGATATACATATTCCAAACATTTTCATATAGATTTCTCCAAAAACAAACGTGTAAAATTCAAATTAGTAGTAATTTCGTGACTAAAAGTGAAGTATCCACTACTACTATGCTTTAAAGTGTAATTAATGAATTTTATTACCATTTCTAGCAACTAAAAATAATTTTATTCGATAGTTTATATATTCAACAAGAATTCCTGTAAATTTTATGGATAAATATTGTCTCAAAGTGAAAATATAGCAAAATTTGCAAGTTAACAAAAAATTTGCAATTCCCGCCATTTTAGGTCGCGAGCCAACAGGAGTATCAAATAACGTGACCTTGCAAGCATACAGGAGGATCAAAATGGTTTAACGATTTCGATAAAAGTTTGTACTTTATAATGTTTTACATTATAATTTTTTTACTAAACTATAATTATGGGTTTAATCACACTATTATTACATGCATCTAAAAGCTTTTATTAAATGGATGTACTTTTAGTTTTATTTTTCCCACACGTATACAAACCCATGAAGTTAGTGTACAATGTATTGTTGCGCGCTACATACCAGGCGTTAATTGTTAGCGCCATCTGGTATCAAGCAGCAGAAATAGGACCGTCAAGATCTTTCTAGAACTCTCCCACTAGCACCATCTAGTATCGAATGGAAGAACTAAGCTTTCTAGAAAGCTCCACACTCGAACTTTCTGCACCTGGTCGGTCGGGGGCTGGTATTTGCTGGAATATTCTGGATGTTTCGGTGGAAAAGGCCTACATAAAGTCGCTAAGGGCCGCGACCGGGGCAGTATTGAATTGGCGATACGAGCGAAGCTTTCGGAGCGAAATAAAGTGAACTAAAGTGTTAAGTGTGATAATTATTAGTGTGATTTAAGTTTTAATTGGTGTTCAGTAATTAAAGTGTCAATTTTGGTAATTCCATCGGTAGTTTTTATTGTCACGAACCCTAAGCTCGTAACAGTATTTTCGCTCCTACTATAAGTGTAATTAAGCTTCTTCCAAACTTTAAGAGGATTTAAACTCATAACACATTTTATAAATTAGTTACGGTTATGTATTTTTATTTATATTAGATATAGATTTATAACATTATTTGTGAATGCATATCTAATATACACAAACTAAAATTTGTTTATTCATATTTTATGCGCTGCCATACCATTAATCGGATTACGATAAAACTTCGTCAAAATATTGCTTTCACAAAAGTTATAGGCATAATTGGACCCGGTAGGTGGCGCTGTTGTAGAATGCAGATATCACCCGTGCAAAGCCGGGGCAGATCGCTAGTTTAAAATGATTCTTACCGCCCATTCCTTAATGAGATCTTCCCAGTGTGTCAGCCTTGTCAACAACTCCATAAAACTTTGCCACAGCTCCGGTTTTACAGCAACATTCAAGTTGGCTTTGATCCAGGTCACTATTAAAGTCTGAAAGAGAGCTGGTGCTAGAAAACCCCCTGTAAAAACGTTTGAACCAAATAAATATAAGTGGTGTTAAAATTTATTGAAATAATAATTTCACATGGTACCAATGTAATTGTACATCACATAGTAGGACATAAGAAATAAAAAATGGGTGTGCAATCATGCCAAATGTTCCGTCTTCCCTAACAGCAACATTTGATGGCTAATTGTAAGTTCTATTACTTTATTTAAAATCCACATGAACAATTTAAATAAAAACTTAATTGGGTAATTATTACGCAATAAAATGTAGAAAATTTCAAATGAAATTCCTTCTTGGGATGTAAGAGACGAAAAAGTTTATAGCCGTAAAAACGTGAACACACACAAAATATTTTTTTCAATCTACTACAAAAAAAGAATCTCAGTTCTCAATTCTATCTATTATGTGTTACTTTAGAACTTTTTTTGTAGATGAATCGATTTTGAATATTCTTTTTTACTGGAAAGCTGGTGCTTCACATGTGGTCCTATATAATTTTGATCAAGATCTGACCAGTAGTTTTTGAGTTATCCTTAATAATGCATATTTAATATACTTCGTCTACATTGATGATGTTTTTATTTTATTTATATTGAAATCGGTCGTACAAAATTTTTTACTTGTAAAATATATAAATCAGACTCTATGACTTCAATTTGAAATTATTGAATAATGAACTTCTTAATACAATTACCAAATGGAATGTTGCTTATATTGTATACACTAACGATTTAAAAAAAAGATACTACCAAAACTTACCAAGTGTTTCCTGTTTTCTTTTAGGTACTACTTTTGTCAATACTAAAGACGTTATCTGGAGTAGTACCAACAGTAGTTGTTCCCTAGAAAAAAAACGGAATATAGAATTAAAATATAAAAGTAATCAATGACACCATTGTCACAGACCTTTTTCTTTTAGGAGGGTAATGGGTTTAAGCTGCAGGGTAAATGATTTTGCTCCAGCTTTTATTACTATCCATCCATTATTGTCCATCAAAAGTACAATGCTGCACATAGGGTAATGCCCTTTCTCATAGGGGAAATATATGCCATTGTTTGGTGAGCAATTTGACAAACTACAGTTTTTAATAATTTTGTGATGTTATTAGGAAGGTGCTGCCCATCTTCGGTTTCATCGCCCTTTGTCGTTTCCAAATCAACACGAGATGTATTTTGACGTTACAATCGTTTCCAAATTTCGCACGCAAATTATTTAGAAATTGCCAAATTGGTAGGTAGGACAAATAAATAGGTATTAAAATCTGTCTGTCAACACAGCAAATCGGGTTGGTAGTAGTGATAATACTACGTAACTGTTTGTATGTGTGCTCCCGGCGACGCCAATCCTCGTAAAAATAAGGTTGACAGCCATTCTATTGTGTGTTATAGTATTCTATGGTCGTTTCACTACAACCACTGGATGATATATGGGATTATGAATAATCTTACGCCGCTACTACTAAATTATCTTTTAATGCCGGCACCAGGAAAACCAACGCTAATATTGCAATTATTAAATTAAGTTTTTTCATTATAAAACTTTTGCGTGTTCTGAACTAGCGCATTAAGAGAAACATCATGAAATCCCACTCTTAGAAACTTAAATATAAGAAATATAACATCGTCGAATCGATTTCAAATCGAATTCAGTCGTATCGATCCCAGGAGATGGTCAGCAGTATTTACTACCAAACGGTATTCTTTGAAGGTCGTACAGGTTTAGGCATCAACTTTGGCATATCTTGATGAAGAGATGGAGGAAGAATTTTATCTTAGTTCCCAGGGTGACAACTGACAACACGTCTGATGTCTACTTTGTTTGAAGTTGATTGCACATGTCCATGGACAGTAGACAGTAACGTACCATCATATTGACTGTTAAGTCGTTTGTTACTCTTATGTAACAAAAATATAGTAGCCTATTGTTCAACTGTTGTGAATTGTTCAACTTCATCCATTTCACAAGTAAACTCACCATGTACTTGCATCCATTGCAACATGCATAACCATGTAACGATAAATGTTCAGTACACGTTTGCAAGTGTCGGTCTGTTCTTGCAATAGGTGCTGTTGTTGGTTGACGGCACCAGGTGGCGCTACTGGAGAAGGGGACGCCAAGAACACGTTTGCTGCCTGTGTCATGAAAACTTGTAACACGTTCTGCGAAAACGAAAATAATAATCGTAAAATAAATTGATGTATAATGTTACAGCCTATGTACGTCCCACAGTAGGGCACAGGCTTCCTCTATTTCTAAGAGTTTTAGGCAAAGAAAGTGTCCACCGCGCGATCTCAATGCGTGTTAGTGGACTTCACACATTTTTACATGTTAATAATTTTTTTAGCCATTCAGGTTTCTTAGCGATGTTTCCCTTCACCGCATATCCGTTTTTTTAATAGAATAAGGGTGACAAACGAGTACACAGTTCACCTGATGGTAAGTGGATGCTGTGGCCCATAAACTACATTTATCCTCGATTAAGAATTCAAACGCAGATGCGTTCTCACCCCTGAGGACTAAGACGGAATTCCTCGTTTGCAGTAAAAAAGGGTTTTCTGATCTCTACACTCGCCATACGAAACACAGCAGTATTAAGCTGCTATTTTACGCTGGTATTCTGTGAGAGCGTGGTCCTTTCCCGGTCGAGCCGACCCATTCGTGCTACAACCATAATACAGCTGCAGCGTGGCTCTACCACGTATAAATCGTGGTAAATCAGCAATTAAAATTGAATTTACAAATTTATTGGTGATCAAACCCGGGTTGCTCGCGTACCGTTAAATTTATGACAAGCTCTTAATCGCTAAGGTAGCGGCACTAAATAACGTAAAGTCAAATAAAAGTCTTTAAGTTAAATAGAAGTCCCTTAGCCGTGGAGCGACAGTCTTGGTAAATATTGGCATTTGCTGTTTTTATAGTTCATTGTTGCGTCCAACCGTGAATCGAAATACAACAGTGATAAATAGCCCCGGCCTATCAAAATTTGACACAACACACAATATTATAATTTAACATTACACATTAGTAGTACTTTGCATTCATATTTCAATATAGAAATTTCAATTAAAAGTCAAGAAAATCATTTTTGGAATTCAAATAAATCAATATATTATATACATCATTTCGTGAAACAGATAATAGTTTAACCCTGATACTAATTTAAACTTATATTTTTATTAATATATTATACAACCGCCCCGGTTGTATTATATTATTTATTATATGAAACATAGATGAATATCTAACATACTTCTCTGCGGATGTGTCTTTTCACATTCAAATTAGACATACAACCACTACATATATATAGCAGACCCCTAAACCAAATGGATAAGACAGTTCTGAACGAACATTCGTATTCGTCAACGTACTGGGCATTCACGCCTGCCAGTTAGTGTTATGAAGGGCCTTGGTACTTTCCATTGTTAAAAATAAGACTGGTGATGGTGTTGCTTCTAGTGTTAAAACTAAAGGCCTATTTTCCTGACTACCATTATAGTAAAAGAGTAGGACAGTTTCTTTGGAAAACACTTAAATAAACCCCTTGAGCTGCATTATGCCAACTTTGGTTTAAGAGCTACTTAAATTGCATTCCTATGCCTCAAAGATACCGGTACTATACATGCAATAAAACTCCAGTGTATATCTGAGCGGAATAATTTACACACAGTAAATACAAACTTAAGTGTGGTGTAGAAGGTGGTCTTATTACGGTAAATTATTTCTTGTAAAAGTTGAAGAGACTTCTTCAACTTTTACAAGAAATAATTTAAGAAATCAAAAACCCTACTGGAAAAACAATTTAAAAATAATGTATTAAAGTGTCCGAAACTAGATTGAGAATAGAAAACAAAATTAAAATAAATTCTAAACAAAGTAAACTACTTTGGTTTAACAGACTATATTATGAGCTGAAAGCCTAAATTAAATTCCCGCATGAAGTTTAGTAGCAAAGGCACCCGTTTAATTTCTTTCGTAATTTGCAATTGGGTTTTTTTAGTGTCCCGACACACTCTTATGAACTTATGATAGCGCGAGGTCCGAGACAATCATGGCCCACTTTTACGCTGTCAAAAAATTTTTAAACCAATTTATTATTCCTAAATAAATTTAATAAAATATATATATATATGCCTTAATCGATAGGTTTACATTTTTTCAAACAGCTATCTAAGAACACTTCGGTTAAAACGAACATAACGACATCTTAACTGTCGAAATCCATCCAACCGTTTGGAAGATACGAGGTAATAAATAAATTAACAAACAAACATACATATATACAAGATTCGCGCGAAAAACATAACTCTTCCTTGGCAGTCGGGTAAAAACTGGTTAACAGGCTCAGTGGCACTCAGCTCAGCTGCTCAGTACAAGGAATCTCTATTAATAACATTAGCATCACCGATTACATGGTGCTTCTAAGTCCATCGTCAAGTGCTCTAAGGAACCTGCTCGCTATTTGTGAACTATACCCAAAGCACACGATCTTGGGTACAAAGTTAGAAAAAACAAATTCGTTGCTTTTAAAGCAGGAACGAAAACATTATGTTTTTGATTTGTACATTCCGCGCTTGGAATTAATGGAAACACCGCTAAAACAGTCTACACAATTCAATTACATAGGCTGGTTGTATCGTCACGCCGCAAGTCGCGCCGCTGGACAGCGTTCTGTTAAAGCGCGCGCTTGAACAGCGGTGCACTATAAAACGAGATTAGTACCACGCGTTCTGCTGCTGTGAGACAGTCGTGTACAAAATGTCTCACGTTAATGCGGTTAGAGTGCTGGCTATTTACATTTTATGGAAAAGAAGGCAACAGCGAGTTAGAAGAAGAGTGGTTGATCCTTATAACGCTACAAGGTTACTGAGAGGCGAACACGTTACATCTTTTACCGATTTACGAGAAAAATAATTATAAATTATATAAATATTTTCGCCTATCAACAGGCAGTTTCGACGAGTTACTCCGCAAGTTAGTTTTCTTTACGACGATCCAGCTTACGTTATATAACCATAACCATAACTCCTGTGGAAAAATTGGCGATCACTCTAAGGAAAGGGAAATAAAAGAGTATTGAATAAATAACATTAACATTTTTTAATCAGTCTTATTTTAATCACACTCTAATTTTGTGTCCCATAAACATCTTCTAAATCGCACTTCTTCAATCACTCCTCCCGTATCCTAATTCATTTTATACACCACAGTACCTAACGGCGCGTCTCAACGGCGTCACACTGAAACGCATACTGGATGTAGAAGCGCTCGAGCGGAGTGCGCTTCGGCAGTGCTGGTGAACAGCGCGCGTATAGTGAACGGCGCTATTCAAGCGCGCGACTTTGAAACGCAGCTACTACCCCAATACATATCCGAACGCGCGCGCACCAACAGCGCTGCCAAAACGCGTAACGATAAAACCAGCCTTAGGGTATTGGGTGAACGAATTACTAAGTGATGAATTAGGTTTGAAGAGAACGTAGGACGTTAGCTGTTGATGCGACATGTAGTTCTGTCCGCTAATCGCTGATACGAAGTTATAAAACAAGGCGCAGCAGTTACCTGCATGCCGGCCCGAACCATTACATCTCGGTTGACCGCGCCGAGGTAGGAGTCGTTGCGGAGACGTCGCGGCGGCGCTGCTGGCTCCCCGGCCGCTAGTTGCTGCTCGTACGTGTTTTCTATTAGAAACGGTGGGATTTCCGACACCTGACGACAAAATTTAATATAGCTTAATAAATATTAATAACAAGGATAATATTTGTACAGAGCATTTCCAACTGGGACCGTTTAGAAGGAGAAGGAGCTCCACAGGTGATCCTACAAGGCTCTACATGAGCCATTCGCAGACACAGTTGCCTCCTTTCACTAGCTACGTTTCGGTGACCTTTTCGAGGAAAGCGAGGGTCTTGTCTGTGCAATACAGGATCAGGTTATTGAGACTAACAACTATCGGAGATAATGACACCGTCGACATTTGTCGAGCTTGTTGCAATCCCGGTGAATCACTAAGGCATATCATCTACGGTTGTTCGGCGCTTTCTAACTCTGAGTACTTGCATAGGCACAACCTAGTAGTAGCCAGGATTTTACACCTGGAGCTCGTTCTGAAATACAGTCTCGTGGATCGGAAATTCCCTAATGTAATTAACTTGCCGGAAGCCGTATTCTTGCGACTTATTTAGTCCAGTAGTGGACTGCCACAGGCTCTTTTTTACTCTGTGTCTCTGCATCGTCTTCTACTTCATCAACCATCAGACACTAAGCATTGAGTCTTAAGATCGCAGTACCAAACGTTTTGCATCTTTGATGCTGCCTCGCTTGGCGTAAATTAGATGGTTGTACCCATAGATAATATACTATATAGGGCATAGATGAGCCACTCTAACAAATTATTTGGTGACGAACGAGGGCAGTTTCTTTTTTGCTCTAATAGTTGACGTTGGGATTATAAATTACCGAAAAATACACTAGAGGGCGCTATCAACTTGGTTGGGTATTATTTCGTATATTTAAAAACTAATATTCAAAACTTTCTGTGCGGTTGCCATTACATTACTATGACATTTGACATGAATTGCATTGTTTATATGGTAAAATCTATTTTATATATATACCGCAATATTTCAAAACTTTGATAGCGTGATTTAAATTTATTTCTCTTCTCTTCGGTATACATAATAAATGTTAGCAGTGGTGTCATCTTTGAGAAAAATATGTAACAATAGTAGAGAAAATTGTACTTTTTACAACTGTGAGATGGTGCTAGTATCAACGATTAAGCTACTGAGGACTTTCATACCACTGGTTATACCGTTAATAAATGAAGCCATAAGATATATCTGACATTTTCCTTAGATCCTTAGTCGCCTCTTACGAAGCCCACGAGAGGTGTAGGGCTACGTCTGCTACAATCTGTCTTTTCTCTACAGATAATAGTACAAAATTTAACTTGAAAGAAGGTAGACATAAAAATCGAATTACTATTATATATAGTGTACTAACATTCATCTGTATCCAGTCTTTGTACAGTCCGATGACGCGCCTGACGGCAGCCGCGTGAGAGAAGGGCAGCAAGAAAGCCTGGCGCAGCACCTCAATTGTAAAATCTACGTGTTCCCGCGAAGAGCAGCAAAGTACGTCGCGGACCACTTGTTCAGAGCTTAATTCCTCTAAAATACCCGAACCTACGAGCGAGATGTCTGTTATTAGGTAGGTAGTAGATTAAGTGGTCATTTATTAAGATCTTATGTCAACATGTAAGATAATAAGTAAAATCAGGCTACTTTGCAGAAATCCATTTCACTAAAGATGTTACAATTACTTAGTTACGCTCCGCGTTAAAAAAAAAACTGCCAAGTACGTGTTCGATCACGCACAATGAGAGGTAGGGTTTCGTAGTTGCTCGTCAAAATACAAGAACTTAGAAGGGGCCTTCTTCTTGATAATATATATATATATATATATATATATATATATATATATATATATACACATACACAAGATGTAACAAAAACCCTGTGGTTCCCGTTAAATTGCGAATCAGTATATAAGCGTATAAAAATATTTTTTTTCTTCAAAAACATTTAAAAAAATTATTTTAATGAAAAAAAAAATAATATGCAAATTGTATGTGGTTTTATTATCTCTGCATTGGCCGAGGAGTAAGAGGATTGTCAAAGACCCCGCATTACCGATACTCGTGTTAGTTTGAGGAAATAAAACCACATACAATTTGAAAATTAATTTTTTTTATTAAAATTATTTTTTGAAAAAAAAATATTTCTATACGCTTGGATACTTATTCTGATAACGCAGTTAACGGGAACCACAGGGTTTTTGTTACATGTTGTATAATACTCAATATTGAGTACGCGTTTAGACTGCTAAACTACTTAAAATGAGCCTATATAGGACTTATTTTCCAAGCAAACTTATATGGAGCGGTAGGTATTTAAACAAATAAAAAAAGGTTTTTGATTTTGAAAATAACAATCCATCCAATCAATCTAACAAATTATTCACATGCCAAATCTGTACAAAAATGACTATACATCTACTAGTTGCTGGCAGTGCAACCTAAGATATATATGACCGTATCGATTCTAAAAGTAAACCACCACTGCCCTAAATTATCTTGAGGGTTGTTTGTGTATACCAAGAGTACAACGAATAAAAGTGTAGGCCTACAATAATTACTAACTAAAAAATAAAACAAAAGTATGTCAGGATCGGTCTTTTGACGATCAATCCTCTCTGCCTACCCAGCAAAGGAAAACGTAAAGCTATAAGTAATACATAAATAAGTCTAATTTCGTATAATTTAAATTAACATTACAAAATTATAATGCAGCTAGTTTTGTGAAAAATACCACTTTAAAGCTCAATATTTCGCAAACGGACTTTATTGAAAGTTCTATCTAACGTCACCCCACACGATGGAATAGGCGGATAAAAATAATCACCAATATAAAAATGCTTTTCAAGATTTTATTTCACAATTTTTAGGCGTGATTAATAACTAAACTATGCCACATTACAGCGTTATAGCACCTAGCTTCCCTGAGTAAAACCGCGGACGGACGGACGGATATGGCAAAACTTTCTTTGGTTTTAACCACGGAACCTCAAAACGTTAATTTTTACGCGGATCTTCGTTAAATAATTTTAACATCTTTAACACATAACAACACAATTTAATTAAGTAGTATCGTTAAATAATTTTAACATCTTTAACACATAACAACACAATTTAATTAAGTTGTATCGTTAAATAATTTTAACATCTTTAACACATAACAACACAATTTAATTAAGTTGTATCGTTAAATAATTTTAACATCTTTAACACATAACAACACAATTTAATTAAGTTGTATCGTTAAATAATTTTAACATCTTTAACACATAACAACACAATTTAATTAAGTTGTATCGTTAAATTATTTTAACATCTTTAACACATAACAACACAATTTAATTAAGTTGTATCGTTAAATAATTTTAACATCTTTAACACATAACAACACAATTTAATTAAGTTGTATCGTTAAATAATTTTAACATCTTTAACACATAACAACACAATTTAATTAAGTTGCATCGTTAAATAATTTTAACATCTTTAACACATAACAACACAATTTAATTAAGTTGTATGAAAAGCCTTTTCTGCTCTGTCTTAAGAGACATCAGAGCAGAGACTCAATTCCTCGTTTATTGCGTAATTCAATCTTTTGTTTTTATAAGAATAAAAAGTGTATACGTTTTCAGATTTATCAAACTTGTTAAACAAATAAGTCTGAGAACTATTTAAACTATATTAAGGCCTTAACTTCAACCATTTGATTGTAACTAAAATGCTTAGTATTGAAAAAGTGTTAATTTGATGTAAACAAACCTGATTCCAAACTAGGATGAGGTGTGTTAGAGGAGGAATCATGCGAAGATGCTCTACTTGAATCTGATGGATGTCCCACAGTGAAAGAAGTCTCCTCCTCATGATGTAGAGAAGCGGCGGGTGTGGGTGTACCAGAATGAGGCAGGTGAGATCCTGTGCTTGTCATTGAAGATGGTTGCCCTCCATCGCTGCCTTGTCGCTTTACAAAATTAGCATAACTCGCAACCCATTTAATAAGTGTCACACGGCATATTACGTAATCGTCTTCTAAAATGTTATGCTGAACCGGCAGTTCTGAAAATAAATATTATTTTACATAAACCATTATCATGAGCCGTGGTAGCTCAGATGGTTAACGCTCGCTGTAAATATAACAGAACGCGAGTAACCCGGATTCGATCCCCGCCCGCACCAATGAAATTGTTAATTGCAATTTTAAGTGCTGATTTACCACGTGCTCGGCGGTGAAAAAAACATCGGGAGGAAACCTGCATGTCTGAGAAATAAGAAAAAAAATATTTCGTAGACATGTGAAGTTCGCCAACACGCATTGGGGCAGCGCGGTAGACACTTCCTAACCCTAAAACCCTCTCAGAAATGAGGGAAGGCCTGTGCCCGCAGTGGGACGTATACAGGCTGTAACTTTACTTTTTACTTTACATTATCATCACAGCCTTTAAAAAGTCCACAGTTAAACATAGGCCTCTCCTATAGATTGCTTCATGGGAGGGTTATTTCCCATAGTTGCTTTGCTTGGCAACTAAAGTTTTTATTGTTCTGCGTTGTTATCAGGAAGACACTGCTGCAATTTTTTTTTCTCACTTTGTCGTCTCATACGACACCCACGGTACGATATTATGGCGATATTATGGGGCAGTAGATACACTTATACCACTGCTTCTTCTTCTACCTAGCGTTTATCCCGGTTACTCATCCCGCCCAGCGCGGGAGAACCCAGGGTCCGCTTTCCTACACTTCCTCCTCCACTTTGCCCGGTCTTCGGCGTCCCTCGCAACTAGCCCATTGGCGCGCATGTCATCCTGCACGACATCAAGCCAGCGGTTCTTGGGCCGTCCTCTACTCCTGGTACCAGGTAGGGTCATGTCCAGGCATTTGTTTCCCACGTAGCTTGCCGGTCGTCGTAAGACGTGGCCGTACCAGCGGAGGCGACTTTCCTGGAGCTTGTCAGCAATGTCACGGACATGGAGGTTGCCGCGGATGTATGTATTCCGTGGTCTTTCCGCGTGATACCGCCACACATCCACCGCAGCATGTTCATCTCCGAGACATGCAACAACTGCCGGTGTCGTTCTAGCACCGGCCACGCTTCACTGCGGTACGTAAGGACAGGCTTTATGATGGTCTTATAGACCTGTCCCTTCAGCTTGACTGGCATTTTGGGGTCACAAATGACACCCGTCACCTCGCGCCATTTCGCCCAGGCCGCTGATATACGGGCCTTGATGTCGCGATCGATGTCCCCGGACGCATCAAGCACAGATCCGAGGTACCTGAAGTTGTCCGTGCGCTCGACGGTGTCGTCGCCTATACGGAGAGACGTCAGATCTGTGCTGTTGCAGGCTATATACTTCGTCTTCGCCACGTTTAGCTTCAGCCCGCCGTTCTCAAGCGCCTCCCTCCATGCGTGCACGCGTCTGGTGAGCCGTTCTTTGTCCCCATCTACCAGTGCGATATCATCAGCGTACATAAGCAGACAAGGCTGTGGTAGTTTCTGTACGCTGGCTGACAGTTCGTCTAATATCATACTGAAGAGATAGGGCTTAAGACGGAGCCTTGATGCACGCCTACGGTTATGGAGAAGGGGGTGGTATCACCAACAGCGGTCCTAACTATTGAATCGGAGTTGCAGTACATATCACGTACGATTTCCACGTAGGTCCCTGGTACCAACTTCGACCGCAACGCCCACCAGATCATCTCCCTAGGAACACAGTCAAAGGCCTTCTGCAGGTCGAGGAATAAAAAATGCAGAGGCATATTCTTTTCCCTATGCTTCTCCATGAGGATCCTTAGGGCGAATATAGGGTCCATGGTACCGCGTCCTGGTTGGAAACCGTACTGGGAGTCCGATACTGTACACTCCTGTCGGATCCTGGTGTCAATAATGCGCTCGAAGAGCTTCATGGTGTGTGACGTCACCTTTATACCGCGGTAATTACCGCAATCCTGAACGGACCCTTTACCCTTGTGAACCGGCGTTATTATACTAAGCCGCCACTGATCGGGCATTATTCGGTCGCTCAGGATTCTATTATAAAGGTTAGTAAGAATGCACACACCACGAGCCCTCAGCGCTTTCCACGCTTCAATTGGCACCTCGTCCGGTCCGACAGCTTTCCGATGCTTCATGTGACGAAGAGATGCGAGGACCTCGTCAGGCGTAATCGGTGGCACGAGTCCATGGTTCGGGAGTTGTTCGGGAGGGTGCACTTCCCGGTGCTGAGTATTCAGCAAAACGTGGAAATAAGAGCGCCATCTCTCCTTCACCGCACGATCATCGTACAGGAGCTCGCCAGTTTATATATGAGCTTGTGCCCCTCAGGAGTGTCCAACTTAGCATATAATGGTTGCAAGTGGTCACGCCTGGCTCTGGCTACAGCTTTCTCGGCAGCTCTTTTCGCTGTCTTGTACAATGCGCGATCTTCAGGAGATTTGGTCGCTTGCCACGTCTTGAAGAGCGCTTTCTTCTCCCGTAATGAACCCTGGACTGTGGCGTCCCACCATCAGGTCTCCTTGTCAATTTTGCTACCCCCCTTTCGCCACGCCGAGGTCTTGCTTTGCCGTCTTTGTGATTGCTGTCTGAATGGTTTTCCAGAACTCTTGGACGGACTTGGCTGCGGTGTCAAGACTAATATCCCCAGCGGCAGAGTAAAACTCTGAGTATCTGGTTTGATCCAGCAGCCTTTAGCAGCACTTTATTTGACGGCGGCAACGTTCGGCGTGTCTGCGACGGGGTTTTACGCAGAGGTCCATGACAAGAAGTCGGTGTTGGGCAGTGAGACACTCACCGGGTATGACCTTACAGTTGGCCACGCGACTGATATGACTTCTCCTGGTCAGTAGATAGTCGATTTGAGTGGCGTTCCGACCGCTCCTGTAGGTAATCAGGTGCTCGGTTTTCTTTTTGAAGAACGTGTTCACGACGGCCAGGTCAGCTGCAGTGCAGGTTCTGAGAATGGTTTCCCCCTCTGCGTTTCTTCGGCCGTAACCATAGCCGCCGTGGACACGTTCATACTCCCCCTGCACCTCGCCCACATGACCGTTCAGGTCGCCACCCAACACGACATCGTGGGACAACGGTATGCCGCGTAGTACATCTTCGAGCCGATCCCAAAACAGCATCTTATCCGCGTCGCTGCAGCCGATCTGTGGGGCGTAGGCACTTATTAAGTGGGTCACGACCCCCTCAACAAGCAACCTTACTACCATAAGTCGGTCGCATATGCGTCTAACTTCCAAGACACTATCGTGGAAATGCTCGGCGAGCACCACTGCCACACTGTTCTCCCCACCAGAAGAGCCTGTATATATTAGCTTGTAACCATGCCCAATATTCCGGCTCCTGTTGGCCTTCCACCGTGTCTCCTGCAGGAACGCCACTGCCACTTTACGCCTGGCAAGTATGGCCGCAAGTTCTGTGGAGCGTCCCGTAAGCGTGCCAATGTTCCAGTTTGCAAAGCGAATATTCGTAGTTGGTGCTAACGTCTTTAGCCGGGCTCGCACGGGGCCCGGTAGCCCTCCGCATACTTGTCGCAGGGTTAGGCGATCGTTATGCGGCGACGCCCTAGTCCTAAACGTATATCTCTTTCTTTTACTTTCCATTTTTGAGTGGCTTAGTGCCAATTACCGGGGCGACTGCCGTCTGACCCCCGAACCCTTAGGACGAATCCCAGAGGAGCGGCATCGCCAGAGCCCTTTCCGTTGTTCAGCAGGTGCGCCACGTGCAGGCGGGGTTGGCTTGGGCTCCAAGATCTTAGCGGAGCCCCTTACACCCTAAAGTTCACACTTATACCACTGCTACACAGCTTTATTATTTTGTAGAACAGACAGACCTGTATGCTAAGGTACTGATTGAAAGGGTCATGAAAGAAACTGATGGAAAAATTTGGGATGTGCAAGCAGGATTTAGAAAGGGAATGGGATGTACAGATCAAGTCTTTTCCATGCGCATGATCGCGGAGAAGTTTTTGGCCAAAAACCAAAAGGTTTTTTGTGCGTTCATGGACTTGGAAAAGGCCTATGACAGAGTGAATAGGGATGTGCTATGGCAAACACTGAACTCATTTGGGTTGAGCGCTGGCTTGATACGGGCATTGGAGTCCCTTTATAGGGACTCTAGTGCTTGTGTTAGGATCAACGGGGTCTACTCGGACTGGTTTGACATCCATAAAGGTGTCAGACAGGGCTGTGTAGCTTCCCCGTGGCTGTTCAACCTATTTATGGACAGTTGTTTGCAAAATTTGAAAGTTGAAGAATGCGGATTAAGAATGGGTGAGTTAACCGTCAAATGCCTTTTGTACGCCGATGATCAAGTTATACTTGCGTCGTCGGCGGCCGAGTTGCAAATGATGGTTACATTAATGAACAGATCATTAAAAGAAAGGGGTATGAAAGTGAACGCAAGTAAGACGAAGGTTATGGTTTTTGAAAGAGAAGAAAGTAAAACGATTTGTGAAATAAGAATAGAAGGGGAGTTGATCGAGCAAGTAGACGAGTTTGTATATTTGGGCTGCGTATTTAGCAGGGATGGGAGATATGATAAGGATATAGAACGACGAGTGAATGCGGGAAATAGAGTAAATGGGGCCCTGCACTCTATTGTGAAGTGTCAAAATGTGTCGAAAAAGGCACGTATGGCAATTCACAATGCTGTGTTGGTCCCTACTTTAACATATGGTAGTGAAAGTTGGGTGTGGCAGAAGAAGCACGAGAGTAGAATGAACGCAGTAGAAATGCGGTCGTTAAGGAGTATGTTAGGGCTGAATCTTAATGACAGGGTAAGAAATTGTGTAATAAGAGAAGAGTGTGGTTTGCAAGATGATGTTGTGACCAGGATTAAGAAAGGAATGCTTCGGTGGTTTGGTCATGTGGAAAGAATGAATGAGGAAAGAGTGACAAAGAAAATTTATGTTGCAGAAGTGAATGGCAGAGTCGGAAAGGGACGTCCTAGGCGAAAATTTATCGACCAAATTGGCGATTTATTGAAAACGGGCCAAATTAGGAGTACCCTTAACCGACGAGCATGTATGCGGAGGTGTATGGATGTGAAGGAGGCGAGAGAGGTGTGTCAGGATCGTGCCAAATGGAAGTCTGTAGTCTCTGCCTACCCCTCTGGGTGACAGGCGTGAGTGTTTATGTATGTTATGTATGTACAGACCTTGTTTCACATAGAATTTTTTTTAAATGTATAGTATTTTGGAGTCGAACTTGGTAATCAATTTGCTAAGTTTTGGCCAGTATATACGTGGTAGAGCCATGCTTATATTAGAAGTATAGTTGTAACACGAATGGGTCGGCTCGACCGGGGAAGGACCACGCTCTCACAGAAGACCAGCGTAAAATAGTAGCGTAATGCTGCTGTGTTTCGTATGGTGAGTGTAGAGAACCAGAGACCCTTTTTACTGGAAAATCATCTAATAAAGAAGGACAATGTTTTTTATATTTACGCAAATAATACACATTTAACATAACTACTTTTAAAGTTTAATCAGGTTTAATTTTAATTTATTTTTATTTCCCGACGTTTTATATGTTTTACAAAAAGACTGAAGTGTTCTACATTGTAATATAATAGTTCACTTGTGTTTCCTTCACCTACTGAATATTAATTTTTAATCTGATCTGTGTAGAACAAGCTTACAGTATATTTAAGTCTTGCAGTAGCACAGTAAAACACCGGTTTCTACCAAGGATTATTCGCGATTCCATGATACGCGAGTGGTCTGAAAAGTTTCCGACTTAACAAAGATACTAGACATTTTTTATTTTTTTTTAAGTTCATTTTAAATTTTCTAAATAGTCTCTTTGTAACTCTACACACTTCTCCCAGAGATTTTCGCCTCTTCATTTGACGAAAATTTCTGTCCTCCGAGCGTAATTTTTAGTTGAGGGATCAAAAAGAAGTCGCTTGTGGCTAAGATCTGGTGGTAAGGCTGATGGTGAAATAGTTCAAACCGTAATTCATTAATATTCGCCACGACAACCGCTGAGGTGTGAGACAGTGAGACATTTTTTCTGCATATGTGGCTGTTTTTGCAAGGTTCTCCATAATGACTTTTCCTTTATATTCCAAAAATCAGTTGCCATTACTTTCCCAGCCAAAAAACAGTGTTTGCTTTTTTTTTGGAGCCGGTTCCCCTTTTGCAGTCCACTGTTATGACTGTATTTTTCTTAGCACGTATAATGGATGTAACCAAGTTTCATCTAAAGTAATTAATCAGCGCCAAAACTCGGATTTATTGCCCCTCAACCTAACGGTACTTTCACATGCGTGAACTTTAGCTATAAAAATGTTGATGTCTATGGACCACAGCAACCACTTACCATCAGGTGGACTTTGTGCTCGTTTGTCACCCCATCCTATTAAAAAATAATGTTATCGTTAGTAGTTGCAAGTTTTTGGACGTCCTGAATGTTCATTATCTCAAAGGTCTCACGGCTGTGTTTAAATTCAGCTGTCCAAAATTTCACCATAGTAAATGATGGTGCAGAGTCCTTATACAAAGAGGACTTACTCATCTTTAAATTGCGTAAAGGCGTATTGCCTTTCACAAATTTATACTCAATTTAAAGTCCAAAATAGCTGAAATTTTGGTGCGTAATTGTCAAAAGATGCACAACTACATTCACTAGCTTTTATTGACAAGTGCTGCCATCTTCATGTTCAGGTCAGAAACTTTTCAGATCACCCTGGTAAGTTTAATTTTCAAGTTAAAGCATATCCAATGGAAGGCTTCAAGAGACTGTAAGCTCATTCTCCATAGCTCGAACAAAAATTAACATTCAAAAGGGAAGGCAGCATGCGATGATTACTGACTGACTGACTAATGATATATAATAAGGAAGTCAAACACCTCAGTTCATCTATGGCTAATGGCATCTAGGCGAAATGTCATGAAATAAAATAAGTTTAAAATAAATGTGATAAAACACATATATCCATTTTTATTAGAAACGACACTGTTGTTGGGTTATATAATAATGATTAAAAATCTTACCAAGATTAGGCTTGTATAATGAGTTTCTGTGATTGAACTGCGGGCAAATAATAGGTAGGTAGTATATTTTAAACTTCTCCAATAAGAATGCAAAACATCTCATTGCTTTAGCGTGTGATCTATCTCGCCAGTGTATTTTTGTAACTGTAGTGGCCATACCATCAAGAAGTATTTCAAAAAAAAACCTAGTTTCATTATCCGCTGCCCTCTCATTGGCACTTGCCGGTAGTAAAGGCTGTATCTCTATACTTTGAACCGGGTTAAGAGCATTTGTATCATGAAATATTGAGGCTGAAACATGCGCTAACTTTCCCATAATACCAGTTGATGTTTGCTCCACAACAACTTTCTTCATATGATCAGAAGCGGAATTGAAGTTTGGGTGCTGCATTATATCCTCCATTTTGAAATCACCTGACTCATTTGATATATTAGTCATTACATCAAAGGATTTTTGCTTAAAGGGCGATCCAATTGGCTGGGCTGGTGATTCAGGCATGCCTGGTACCAACCCAGCAAACATCCTGTGCACTTCATGTGGGGCATTATCTCCAAGAGCTTGATACCACAGAAGGAAATATCTGAAAAAAAGAAAAAATTTAACTGTAAGATTCAATAATATATCAAAAAGCTGTTAGACCAAAATTTCTATCTTTAAAACCAACAACTTTTGTTCTCGTCACTGTAGTCTGGTTCCTTCAATCCATAGGTCGTATCTTTAATCATAATAATTATGTGTATTTGTAACTTTTTTCCGATTTTACTGGTCTTAAACCAGGTTGTACAAAAATATCATATTTTAGACACGATGTTGAAGCACACGTATGATATTATAATGTACAAGTAACAATACTTCTTGAAAGTAAGTATGCTCGAAAAAATATATACATACATGCAATAAACACTCGGTTAAATTCTCAATCGAATAGATTTTCAAATACTTTAAATTATACTAGATAAAAAAAATTGCCAGGAAACAACTTTGACATTCTAGTTCTTGTTTTTAAGCAATAACCATATAATATTTTCGATGTAATAAAAAGCATGTTATTAAATTATTATTAAATTTTATTGAGATTCTTTATTTCCTGTTAATAAGCAAAAATATTTTCAATAAAGTAACTTTTAATTCACTAATGTCGCACGCTTAATTTGTGTTGGACAAATATCCACCCTGAATGGTATGACCCAAGCACGACTTGTAGAATGGCACGTACACACGTGCTATAAGCCTATAATGTAGGGAATACCTCGCCTTAACAATACTTTTAGAGTTGATGAGGACTGTGATGTACTTTTAACACAAAACTGTTGAATAAGATAAACATCTGACATTATGGATCTCAATATTTGATCTGTTCGAGGGTAGTCATACGATATAAAAAGGATTGAAATAAAACAAATTTTAATAAAGGCAGAGGTTAGAACATATGGGGTATGTTCCGAAATAGAACCCAGTATACAAGCCAATGCAAATAATGTCATAAATTGACACCATACTGGTGATTAGTTTCAAAACATTGGACAGTATATGACATCATACATTTGCGTCATATTGGAAGTGTTGGCGATTATTTTATGTCATTTTGTGCTCCAAAAGTTATTATATCCTGTTTTAATTAACTTGTGAAGAATGGAGATACCAGCAATAATTCTATATTTTTTTTTTGTTTTTGAATAAATAAAAACAAATTCTGGCATGCTTCATTCAGCGTACACACAATTAAAAATGGTTTTATTATAGCGGGATATCCGGCACATTATGGCAGCGGCACTCCAGTACAATATGGTGTCAATTAATGACGTCATTTGCATTCGCCAGTATACTGGAAACATTTCGAAGTATACCCATGGTATCCAATGGAAATATGTAATCTTAAAAAAGTCTATTACCATTAATTTACAGCATATTAAAAGTCCACTGCTGTACATAGCCCTCCTAAAAGATTGCCTCAAAGCTGGGATATGACATGCATGGCATGCCAAATGGCAGGCAGGTTGGCAACCACACTTTTCAATTTTTGTAGTTATTATGAGGAAGACTCTGCTGTCCGCCTCCTGGTTTGTTTCCCTCTGCCGCCTCTTATGACACCCACAAGATGATACAAGCCAGTAGATATTCTTACATCGCCACAAGTTCCTAGACTAGCAATACTGTGTTACGGCCCTCAGTTGCCCCGACAGAAGTCGCCTGGACTAGGGCCCATCAGTAATCCAACTCGACGGGCAACCGAGGGTTCAGGCACAAATGGCCTATGGATAATTAAATTATTTAATGGCAGCCATTACATAATATTATATATTATGTAATGGCTGGATAAGCAAACACAAACTTACCGAGTTCCGGAGGTAGGGTCGACCACAAGGTACAGTCAGGGGTAAGTAAATGTTGTAAAGTAAATGGTGTGAGTGGTGTAGGAAGGTGTGTAATGTAACCTGACGTCACCGATGTAATCGGCTAGCAGAACCACATGCGTTGCCCCACTTCACAAGGCGCAATCACTCCAGTGGGCGTTCACCGCTATCTGAACTCAAGTCTAACGTCACTTAGCACAAAACGATAATCGAAGAAGGAACGCGATCTCCTCCCGGGTCACAAAGTTTAGCGTTCCAACCGACAAAGCAAAATTCCTTCGTTCGATATTAAAATACTGTACAAGCCACTCGTAGACGCAAATTAATCACAATCGAAGTTAAATTAATCACTCAAAACTCAAGGAAGGCATCGTTGTCACGTATCGAACAAAATAAGACAACGCAAAGGAGGCAGTCGTAACGCGACCCAACGATTCTAACTTAACCCCGACCTCTAATCGACACGGCTGTCGCGTACAAAAGAATATTCTAGACTAATTGGCGCGGCCGCAGGCTGCAAAACGAATGCCCCCCCCCCCCCCCCCGCCAACCGTCAAACCGGTTCTTCGCCCGAGACGAGAGTTTTGCAAGCTTTAAGTTGTACAATTAGGCCTAAACATACTGTATATGGCTAGTCTAGTAGTATGGCCATGCTTCACAGCTATTATCACCCCATATAGGGATCAGGCTTTTTAGGTTTATCAGAGATATCTTTTTACGATGTTTGAATTTGATGTATTTTTGTGTATGAACACAATTATTTTAACCAAATTTTAGATTTATCTAGTGTCTCTTCCATCCTCTTGTGCTGACAAATTTGGGCTCCATGTACTATCATGTAAGAAAAGGGCTGGTAGGTCCTCCTGCTACAGTTTTCCGAACAATGTTATTAATAGAACTCTTGTATGTATAAATGTTCCCTTGGTTTTGAGCCTTGTGGAATATTTAAAGACGATGGCAGATATTTAAAGACAATGACACAACAGTGTTCTTTGCACTATACCATGGTGCGCAAGACTGTATGATCATTCAGATCATAATTTTTTTTAAATTATGGTAATAAATATTGTATATGGAATTAAAAAAGATCTATTTATGAAAAGTAACAAATCTCAAACTCCCCAATAATATACGATCACAGTATTGTGGCATGGCGAGTCTATGTTAAGAATATGTTGTATGAAGTTTCACATAGTGGGAACACTTTTTCACTTTATTTAAAGTACGGATAAATATTTTTTAGTTTTTATAAAAATCAATAAAAGTAAATACATTAGTGTACACCTACCTTATAGCTTCTGCCCTAAGTTTTTGAGAATTGCCGCTATGGAGGAGTTTTGAAAATATTCTTGTAAGAGAATGTAACTGCCATCTTTTACCAAGTAATTCAGGCAAAAGGCATAATACTTTTTCTAAGAGAGATAATGCTCCTTCTAATTCTTCCCTGCCAGCTTTGTGTACTAAAACATATACAACACAATTTAGGAAAGACAGGTCTTTGCTACTTGAAAACATTCAAACAAATTATATGTTATTTTAATTGTGAGTCTCCATTCCATGATTTTTTACTTAATAATGAGGCCAAATACAGTGTTAAAACCCACTTTTACAAGCTATTTGTTAATGTTTGAAAGTCTATAACTTTTAATTGTAAATAGCTTTGTTAACTTTATGGTAAGCCATTGCATTGGTGATATCATCATAGTCTAATTATCTTATCACTGCCATGTCACAAATGTGTAGGTAAAGATCACGGTGTGCACTACTTTGTTTTACTTTATAGCATATCATTATAAGTAGTAAAAATGTAGGTAGCATTCTGTATTTTCATTCTTCAAGTCAAATGTATTATTTGAAAAAAAAAATAGATAATAGGTAATACAAATGTCGATTTCAAAAAAGGTATGATGTATAATGAGGCCAATTGCAGCGTTAAACTTACTTTTCCAAGCTATTTGTTAATGTTTGAAAGTCTATGACTTTTAATTGTAAATAGCTTTGTTAACTTTATAGTAAGCCATTGCATTGGTGATATCATCATAGTCTAATTATCTTATCACTGCCATGTCACAAATGTGTAGGTAAAGATCACGGTGTGCACTACTTTGTTTTACTTTATAGCATATCATTATAAGTAGTAAAAATGTAGGTAGCATACTGTATTTTCATTCTTCCAGTCAAATGTATTATTTGAAAAAAAAAATAGATAATAGGTAATACAAATGGCATTTCAAAAAAGGTATGATGTACAATTTATTTCATAATTCTCATTACTTTTTTCATGTAATATTTTGCATTTGTTTTCAGGGCAGGCAGAAAAACAGACAAAGACACTATGTTTTCTGAAATTTGTTATTAATATGTCTTGAAAATGGGAAAATATATATTGATTTTATAAATAAAAGTAAGGCTGTGACTTTTATTCACACGTGTAAAACAAATAATATGATGAACTTATTAATTTATTACTAACCCTAGCTATAAGTTACTAACACTTATGAGCTGCCTAAAGGAATTAAAAGAAAGAATGAGTTAAATATTGAACAAAAAAAATTTTCCAAATATTATATTTCACATGAAGAATGAAGATATAGAACTCTACTTACATTTTTAACTAAATATAGTGACATGTAAAAATTATATGTATCACTCTCCATACATTTCTTTATGCTACACTTCAAGGGATGTGGGGGCTGCCTAGTCTCCCTGAAAAGGGCTAGGTGCTGGTAAAGGCCATACTGACGGGACAAGTGAAAGTCAACTCGGGCAGTGGGGATGGCCCTTTTCAGCCCTATCTGCCAGTTGGATCGCGCTCCCGATGTCGCGCTGTGAGCCAACTCTACGTCCCTATATTCCCCCCGGTAATCCTAACACCTGAAATTCTTTTAATAAAGTAGGGCGTTCCCAAAGGTGCGGGCTCCAAGGAGGGTGGGAAGCCGGGGGGGACGAATTAGTACACATATAAAAAACTATGGTTAACACAAGGCCCATTAGTAGAGAGGGAGAAGTGTCAGAGGTGTTTACCTTAGACACTGATAAACCAGAAGGAACCGCCGTTAAACCGGCCGTTCCACTGACTGTACCACCCAGCGTAGGTGGCCCCACCATGGGGGCAATTTCCGCGCTGGATGTCTCTAAATCCAGTTCCAAATCTAAGGAGCTGGGAGAGAAAAATGAGCAAGGGGCCGCGAGTAGCAAAACTCCTGCGGAGCCCCAAAGGACCGAAGACCTTTTCTCCGCTGCCTGGCAAGTGGTGAGCCGTGAGGGGAAGCGCAAGGCACCCAAAATGGTGACTTGCCAACCCGACGCACCATCAGGTGGGTCTATCCCAGCAGGCAGTAGCGCAAAGGTCAAAAAGAAGAATAAGAAGCAGCGAGAAAAAGGCCGCAGAGAAAGAGCCGCGCTCGCTGCTTCCAAGAGCAAGACTCAGGGAGCTGGGCAAGCTACTGCTACTGCGGTGCTTGGGGCTGGAACCAGTAGTCGTGCTGAAACTGGGAAGGATGAAAATCCAGCCCGAGCAGTAGGCACGGCCGCCGGAACCAGCTCTAAGAAATCCGCCAGGAACCAGAGAGCAGCCAAGCGTCCTGGAAAGAAGGAAAGAGCAGCCAAAAGATTGCTGGAGGAGTCCACCTCGCCGAGAGGAGAGCACAAAATAGTGCGACTTGAACAGCAAACAAAGGCTGCAAGAACAAGCTACGCTTCTGCTGCTAAAGCAGATTTGGGTGTGGCCTTAACGTATGCGCGTTCAGGTCACATAACAAAGGAGGTAGCTGATGACATCCTCGTGGCCATACAGAGGAAGATGATCAGCGAGGCCTGGAGTAACCAGGACCCTGATGCGTCGGGCCCGGTTTTTAGAGGCAAACCCGTTTACACGGAGGGTGTCCTAAAGCTGTGGTGCGATGACCAGAAGGCTCTTGACTGGTTGAAAGGGAATATTAATACCCTCGACCTCAAATCCAACACCTCGCTGACTATTAAGAAACAGTCAGAGATACCACAAAGAATCAAATGTGGTATCCTTATCCCTGATGCTCAAAGTGCCTGGAAGGACTCACGCGACATTGGTCGTGTGCTTGCGTACCAAAACCACTAGGTAAACATCAAGGACTGGCTACTACTCAAAGCGGACAAACAGACGGACGGGTGGTTCCTCGTTGTTTCGGTGCCGGAGTATCATATCCCGACCCTGATGAAAGCCGGGCGCCGTCTCGCATGTGTATGTGGGGCGGTATACGTTAAATTCCAGGGTCGTGGAGGAAAATTCGTTGATTCCCCACCTAGCAAAGAGGCAGAAAAGAACCCGGAAGTCATGGATACCGTGGCCATGGTTGCCGGTACATCGAAATCACTGGATGTCAAGTCCGGTGAAAAAACTGTCTGCACAACCGAGCCGAAGCCCCCAGTGGAAACTGAGCTCAGCGGCAGCTCACTGAGCGATGAAGAGGACTGCATTTTGCCGTCCAATTCCGACTCGGTGGCTGACGATGAGACCCGAGATCTGCTGGCAGGCTTATTTTTAGGCGGGGATGGGGGTGACGCGATCAATGATGGCGTGCCCTTCGTCCAAAACTAGCCTAGTGCAGGCCAACCTCCACCACAGTGAGACAGCGTCGGCTCAATTACGCAAGTGGTTGGAGGCACAAAGGACGGCCATAGCCCTGATCCAAGAGCCATGGGTTGGGGCTGGTAAAATTAAAGGCCTAAACAACCTAAGAGGTAAGTTATTCTACAACTCTAAGCACGACAAGCCTAGAGCGTGTATTTATACTACTAAAGATATCTGTGCAAAACCACTAACAGATTTCTGTTCCAGAGACATGTATGCCGTAGCATTACAAAACACACAGGAGGAAATGTTAGTCGTCGCCTCGGTCTACATGCCTGAGGAAGACACCCCTCCCCCTCACGACCTCGTCAGGCTGGTGAATTTCTGTGAGAGGGCCGGACTAGAGGTTGTGATCAGGACGGACTCCAACGCGCTACATCCCCTTTGGGGAATGGAAAAACCTAATGAACGAGGTAAGGTTTTAGTTGAATATTTATTTAGCACTAACCTAACCATATTAAACACTGGTTCTGAACCAACCTTCATAAATAAACACTGTCGCACAATAATCGACCTCACACTTGCAACAGAAGGAGCACAGCTAAGCTAATAACGGGATGGCATGTGTCGAAAGAGGCCTCATGCTCAGATCACAGATGAATCTGCTGCGTACTACAGGTCGATATCCCCGCTATACCACCATGGAGAAATCCCCGCAAGACGGATAAAACAAAATACCTCAATAGGCTGACATCTTCGCTTGCGGCTGTTGGGGGAACTAATACCATAGCAGATCAATCGCTCCTAGAAGAACAGGTAGCAGCTGTCACTAAAGCCATGATCGATAGCTACCATGAATCATGTCCAGTAATCACTCCACCAAAACATGCTGAGCAAAAGCAACAGTGGTGGGGTAAAGAACTAGACAGGAAACGCAAGAAGGTAAGAAAAGCCCTAAATAGGGCAATGAATACCTCAAAGGATGAAGACTGGCTTCTATATAAGAAAGCTAAGTCTGAATACAAAAAATATATCAGGTATCGACGCTCAACAGGGTGGCGCAAATTCTGTGGTAGCATAGAAACCTGTGAACAAGCAAATCGGATAAGGAAAATCCTAGCTAAACAGGACACGCCGGGATCTATCTCTTTAAAGAAACCCAACGGAAGCTACTTAACATCGCCGGATGAAACCCAACGCATCCTAATTGATACTCACTTCCCAGGTTGCTGTGTAGTTGAAAGGGTGAACCGGCATGAAGATGCACCGACACCAACAAAAGAAGACTGGGAATTAACACAAAGAGTGGTGACAATGGACAAAATCCATTGGGCCATTCATAGTTTCCAACCCTATAAGGCAGCAGGACCTGACGACTTATTCCCGGCACCTCTACAGTGGGGGGGGGGGGGGGTAAAGTTCTAATAGTCAGACTTGTTGCCATAATGAGAGCATGTCTGGCTCTTAAATATGTTCCTAGGGGATGGAGGGAAGTGAAAGTCACATTCATACCCAAACCAGGTAAGAACGACTATACAGACCCTAAATCCTACAGACCTATTAGCCTCACATCCTTTCTCCTAAAGACGATGGAGAGGATGTGTGAACGGGAGTTGAGAAGATCGGCGCTAATTAACTTACCGCTACACGAAAAACAACACACCTATAGCTTAGGTAAATCAACAGAATCGGCACTTCACCAGGTAATAACAAAGATTGAAGAGGCCATCCAAAACAAAGCAATATGTCTAGGCTCCTTCATAGACATAGAAGGTGCTTTTAACAGAACAAATTTCTCCAGCATAAAAGGTGCCCTAAGTAGACATAATGTTGAACCGGCACTGATTGACTGGATAGTAAATATGCTCAGAACACGAACAATAAAGATTGCTGGTGAATCTCAGACAATCCACATCATGAAAGGGTGCCGCCCGCAGGGTGGGGTTCTTTCACCTCTCCTGTGGAATATGGTCATTAATGAACTCATCAGCAAATTAAACGCTAACCATTTCTACACAGTCGGTTATGCAGATGATCTGACAATACTGGTCTCCGGTAAGACAGCAAGCATTGTGCGCGACCTGACCCAAGCGGCTCTCCATATTGCGGAGAGATGGTGCAGGGAATATGACCTAACCGTTAATCCAAATAAAACGGTTATAGTAATGTTCACACAAAAACGAATGCTGAATAACTATCATCTTCCAAGTCTTTTCAGCACAAAACTCCAACTTTCTTCCAAGGTAAAATACCTAGGTCTTACCTTGGACAGTAAACTTAACTGGAACAAACACATAGAAAACAAAATCAGCAAAGCTAGTTTAACTTTCTGGCAATGCAGAAAAATGATTGGCAAATGATTGGGCTTAATGCCAAAAATTATACTGCGGCTGTACAAAATTGTAATTCGGCCCATGATCACATACGGCTCTCTGGTATGGTGGACCAAAACCAATGACGCCACCACTATGCAAAAGCTTCAGCGTTACCAGAGGTTAGCTTGTATGGCTGCCATGGGCTGCATAAGGACTACACCAACAGCAGCTTTGGCTGCTGGAGCAAACACCGCTTCATCTACATATACAACAAGAAGCAACTTTAGCTGCCATTAGACTCAAGATCCTAAATCTTTTAAGTAAGAGTAGAGTCCCCCATACAGATATAATCGATAGAATTTACTCAAAAATTCCTATCTTACAAGCTAAGTATGATAGGATTTCAAAACAATTTGTATTCGATAAGAAGTACAGGATACAATTGAAGGAAACTGACCATCTGGAAGGATTGGGTCCAAGAGAGCTAAAAGTTTTCACGGATGGCTCTAAGACAAATGAAGGTGTGGGGTCTGGGGCTTTCTCTGAAGACCTTAATATCCACATATGCACGCTGGGTACCCACAACACAGTCTTCCAGGCTGAATGCATGGGTATCATCCATGCAGCCATAGCAATAGATGCTAGGAAGGTGAAAGACTTCTCCATCAGAATACTGACCGACAGTATGAGGGTACTACAAGCTCTGAGTTGTAATGTGACGAACTCGGGACTGATATACAAGTGCCATCAACAATTGAATGAGGTATGTAAGCACAACAATGTAACTCTGCAATGGATCAAGGGACACAGTGGATCTAGAGGCAACGATGCAGCAGATAAACTTTCCAGAAGGGGATCGGCCCTAGCACCTATAGGGCCGGAACCAATAATACCAATCCCCTTTGGCTATGTTCGTTCACTAGTATGTAGATACTTCAATAATTTACACGCTCAGCTTAGGAAAAATTTAGTAGACTGTAGACAAGCTAGGGAGGCCCTACCTGAAATAAACAGTCGTCTAACCAAGGTTCTAATGAGACTGAACAAGCCACAGATCAGGATAGTAACAAGTGCTATCACAGAACATGGCTCTTTTAACAAACATTTGTTCACCATAGGTGTTACTGACAGCCCCCTGTGCAGGACATGGATGGGAGAGGAAGAAACGGCTGCTCACGTGTTTCTGACACGTCCAGAAGTCGCTTCAAACAGGGCTAAACATCTCGGCACGCCGGGATCGCTCCCCGAAGTTGCTTGCAACATCAAGGGACTGCTGAGCTTCTTCGGAGAGATATCATGGCTTGAATAAGCATATTATTCCTGCTCACACGCAAAATACGCGCTTAGACGTGGAGTTGCGAGTCAGAGAGTTGTTACAAAATAACCCTGTATATTTATTGATAAATGTGAACTTCATTTTTTCTATTTTCTGTCTCACTGTTGTATTTTATGAATATTCAACAATTTAATATGAAATCAAAGACTAAGTATAAAATTAATTATTTACTGATATGGCCTATATTATTTATATTATTACTTGATATTTCCTAACAATCAACCTCATTTATTTACAATGAGATTATTATTAATTTAATTACTTATTTTCTAACAATCAACCTCATCAATTTACAATAAAACTATTATTAATGTAATTAGTACTGACAAAGGTATAAACCTTATGGATGACAATCAACATCACGAAGCTGTGCATACATAATCATGACATGACAGCAATAAGACAGTGGATTCTATTCCACAAATATAAATTAAATGATTTTTATTCACAAATAAATAAAACTCATTAATATGCAATGAATTTAACTAACTTTTTTATGTATTTAGTAGCAAATAATTTGTTAAAATAAAATAGCCAAAAGTAAACCGTTTAATTTCAAAGCACTATACAAGAAAAGTGATTATTTCAAATGTTGAAGAATGAAGTAAATACATGAGTTATTTTTTATAACACAACAACTCACCAAGATGGAACGGAAGTTCTGTATCGCCAAAACAGAAAAAAGCTGATTATAAAAATGTTTATGAATAATAATAAACACAATATTTTTTCAGATTGAATAAACTATGCAATTTTTAAGTAAAGAAAACTTTGTCTTTTTCTTACATAGAAGTATAAAATTCTTTCAAGTTTTATTGAATTATAGGAGTCAATAACAGTTTAATTCAAACAAATACTATATACAGTGTACCAAAAACACTGAATTTACAAAACATTATAAGTGTAAAATACCGATTTTATGGAAATTTAGTCAGTTTACCTCTTTGTCGAAGATTATTTTCTGCTAAAATAAAGTTATCATACAAGATAAAATATACATGACTGAAGTTCGCCTCAAAGTATGTCTTGGCTTCATCTGCATCAAAATGTTCTGAAAATATTTTTTTTTCATATTTTATTAATGCTACTTAAATTTTATTTAAATTTAAAGTAAACTAGTTTTAGATTTTATGAAAAAGTTATATTTGAATGTAAAACTCTAAATAAATTTAAAGTTAAAAATTATTTAAGCAATATAGCCACATAAAATCGATTCTTTGTGCAATAAATTTAAGTACATGAACACAATCAGTTACAGTTATTCTCATCTAATTAGCATGTTTAGAATGAAACGTCAAAGGCTGTAAAAACTCAAAGATCTTTACTAGAATTACATAAATCTTAGCTCTTATGTAGATTTTAAAACAGAAGTAGTATTTATTTACCTAAAACGATTTTGAGGTGTTTTAATCGGGTTGTCGAATCTTTCTTAGAATCTTGTATTTTAACAGTGGATTTTTTGACATCCTGATGAGATTTTTTAGTAAACATATCGATGATGATATTATAAGCGTACACTGTAATATTTTCTCATTCTTGGTTACATGAAAAACGTGTTTTTACATTGCTTTTTTTGGACTTTTCACTACAACATTTATCTTCCATTTGTGTTTTTAAGTTTTCACTCCCAAATGTCATCGTTTCTTACGTTGACGTAAGCCGTGTTAATTTTTCTAAGTCAAAAGTAAGTTATATACAGCCTTTCAATGTAACTAAGTTTCATAGAGAAAATTATTATTCTATAATAAAAAATTGATATATTTTTTTAACAGAAGAGCTAAAAAATAGGTCAGTACCAAAACTATACTTATTATAATATAAAAGTTAAGCTATAGTATAAGATGAAAGAGGTGTCATCAGACCTTCGAGTATACATAAGCAAGCTATAGAGCGCACGTACCTCCTACGCGGGCCCCGTCTTTGCCCACGCAAACCCTAATATTTTAAACGAACTCCAAATAGTTCAGAACCTCTTCTGTCGTCGAGCTGCGAACGCACCTTGGTACGTCCGTAATGCCGACCTTCATCGGGACTTAGAGCTCCCAACAATTCAACAATTTTTTAAAAAACTCTGAGAACTTCTTCAAAGCCTCAGAGTCGCACCCAAACCATTTAATTCGTGAGGCAGCTTCTTATGCAGCCCCACCCCCCTCTCGCTATCGTGTCCGCAGGCCGAGAAACTCTCTCTCGGACCCGCCTAATAAACTTTCAAACGACCTGAACTGTCTCCTGGCGGCTCAGGCCAACTCTAATTAAATAAAATTACTGTAATAACTAACATTAATTTGCCTTCGTAGGCACTCCATCAGCGGCACTTAGCCGCCTGCGCCCTCTTTTCCCAAAAGAGGGTCGCTCATGATAAGGCTTAAGGAACTTGTGGATGGCTTTCATAGTGCCGACAAATCCCCAGCTCATTGTACTTTCCAAAGAACAGTTACTTAACAAACGTGTCTGTGAAAAACATTTTGATGTATTTCAGTTCGGCAATGAAGGCAGAAGACTTCGATACTCTTACCCGTCCTTGCTTACTGACAATGAAATAGCTCATGGTGTGCCTCTGACTGCAACTGGTGAGTTATTTTATTACTTTCAACCATGGTACTTAAAAGAGAAGGAGACGTCTCTATACATTCTTGGGCCCAAGTATTAACAAGATAAAAGTACGACCATTTGTAAGTGTCATTGACTCTACATCATTATTTGCTATGATAGTGTAATTTTTTCAGGATGGGATGTCACAACTGAACATAATTACTGTAAAGAGCAACATGAAGATGATTTCACAGAAGCTGTGTTAGTGGTTAGAAAGCCTGGTATGTACAAATATCTTAATTGATGTTAATTGTAAATCATAGCAAACATATTATGATGAACACTGATTTCTAAAAATATTTTATTTAAATTACAGTCAGTGGCAAATTTTTCAACATTTTGAATAATGTTTTCAGGAAGTGATCTTACGATTGAACACAATTACTACAAAGAGCAAAATGATTGTTCCAAATCATCGGTAGAGATTGGATCGTCAGGTGTGTACTAATATTCATGTAGCACTAGTTACTAAGTAGCAAAAAAGCTTTCTAACTATTTCATAAATTTACTAACCATTCATTTTCTAATAATGTGTTTGCCTAATCATACTGACATCTATAAAAATGCAATCTTGTAACAAATTTCAGATGTTGGAAATTCTCATGAACAGCCTTCATGTTCAAATTTTTCAACTGTTGCAACAGTTGTTGAAAATAAAGGTATGGGAAATTGTATTGGACATAATTTTTTATACATTTATGTAGGGATCAAATTAAAAGAAGTACTTATATATCAGGTAATAGAAAAAATACTTTAAATGCTTAAAAACAGGCTGTGAACTGGAGGTGTCACTGCATACCTGGAACTGCATCAGTTCTAGAGGATGGTTATGTGTATTTAATTTAGACATACAATACAGAGAAGCATACATTGTAAATTTAATTTATGTTTAAGACCATAACATTCATAACTATTGCTTCTTTTCAGGAATTGATTCTAATGCTAATGTGGTGAAACAAATGATGCCAAAAGGTAGCACATGTACAAAAAAGCAAACAGGTATGATAAATTCAGTTTATTCTTAGACATTTATTTTCTAATAATATGTTTGCGTAAGCATACTGACATCTATAAAAATGCAAACTTGTAACAAATTTCAGATGTTGTAGGTTCTCATGAACAGCCTTCATGTTCAAATTTTTCAACTGTTTCAACAGTTGTAGAAAATAAAGGTATGTGAAATTTTATTGGGCATAATTTTTTATACATTTATGTAGGGATCAAATTAAAAGAAGTACTTATATATCGGGTAATAGAAAAAATACTTTAAATGCTTAAAAACAGGCTGTGGACTGGAGTTGTCACTGCATACCTGGAACTGCATGAGTTCTAGAGGATGGTTACGTGTATTTAATTTAGACAAACAATACAGAGAAGCATACATTGTAAATTTAATTTATGTTTAAGACCATAACATTCATAACTATTGCTTCTTTTCAGGAATTGATTCTAATACTAATGTGGTGAAACAAATGATGCCAAAAGGTAGCACATGTACAAAAAAGCAAACAGGTATGATAAATTCAGTTTATTCTTAGACATAATTAGAAAAAGTTTCAATATCTACCTCAAATCACAATAAGAGTTTTTTGTTCTTCACCTAATCCCAATATTACAGTTCCACTACACTTCAATGGTTTTATCAACAAGTCCTTTACTGTTAAGGTTACATTTTTCTGGAACTCTTCCTCTGATGACATCCACTTTATTTGTTATCTTATCAAAGTGAATACATTAAAAGATTAAAATAAAAATGTATAAACAAAAAATTAATAATTTTAAGTGTATCATTCAGTCATAAAATGTGAATATGGAATTTAATTATTTTATTTATTTCACTTCAGGTTACATGGCGAAGAAAATAGTATCAAGGAAAAGAAAATTGGTTAAATTTTTGACTAATATTGCAACTGAAAGTTTAAGTGACTCAGTATCACAACGACTTGATCAAGCCCAATCCCTGTCAAGAAATAAAGACCTTTTGGAAAACTTTTATTTGTTAAACAAACAAGCTCAGACTTTCTTGTTTATGCAATTAAAACAAATTCATAAAAGCAAAATGGCCAGAAGGTTTACCTTAGATGAAAAATTAATGGCATTGCTCATAATGAAACAAAGCCCCAAAAGTTATAAACTATTAGAAAGAATGTTTGCCTTGCCTAGTAAACGGACATTAAATAGACTTTCTGAGAAAGTTTCAATACAAGCAGGACTCAATCCATTAATATTTGAACATATATCAAATACAACAAAAAAATGGGACACTAAACAAAAGCTATGCACAATAGTTTTTGATGAAGTCTCTCTGACACCACATTTAACTTTTAATGAGAAAGATGATATAATTAATGGGTTTGTAGATATAGCTGGAGAGAGAAAACTAAAATATTGTGATCATGCTTTAGTTTTTATGCTAAGAGGAATATGCTCTCCATGGAGACAGAGTGTAGCATTTTATTTCTGTGAAGGCACAGTATCAGCAGCAGAGCTGCAATGCATTTTAAAGCAGATTGTGCCCCAAGTAATACAAACTGGGTTAATACCTTTAGGTCTTGTTTGTGATCAAGGGTCCACATTTCGAACAGCAATAAGAAGACTTAGGGAAGATACAATTCGTAGGCGGAATATTCAAGGTGTTCATGATGGTGTGTACCATTCTTAATTACTTAAAAACCAGTTCTACTTCATGACAAATATTATTTATTTTAATTATTTTACAGATGGATCAGTTAATATTGCTGATCACGATTTAAGCATATTTTTTGACCCACCTCATCTCTTAAAGGGTTTAAGAAATAATTTTTTAAATAAAGATATAATTTGGGAAGAAAAAACCGCCTCTTGGAAAGATATTGAGTTCATTTTTGATTTGGATAGCAAATTGGGACACACAAGGGCACTACCAAAGTTAACAGCTCATCATGTTGATCGCAAAAAGATCAAAAAAATGAAGGTCAGCGTAGCTGCTCAAGTATTTAGTGCTCGAACTGCTGCTATGCTCAAATATACAAATGCACTCAGTAAGTAACGATTGCTATATTGATTTGTAGGCTTATTCAATTTATGTATATACCATTGTAAAATTTCATGTAAAAAAATCAATTTGTAAAAAAATGGTTAAAAAAGTTTGTTGTTGTAACCAAATAAGAAGTGTCTTGGCTAAAGATTTGCAGGTCCAACTGTAAAAGAAATTAAATTAAGAAGTACTTTTTTTTTTCAGATTATTTTCATACTGCAAACTCTGACGCAACAATGGCCACAACAGCAGAAGTTGTTGAATTCTTTGACACACTGTTTGACAGCGTCAATGGCTACCCGGGTGGTGTGCAAAGAGGAAAGTTAAGACGAGCGGTTAAACAAAATTCACAACATCACACTTTTTGGATTGAGGCCATTAATAAAATAAAAAAAATGGTTTTTGTGGACACCAGTAGCAAACATGCTACAAAAGCAGGAAAACCTCGACTTGTGCGAGTGCCTACCAACAAGGATGGGTTACAACTCTTGAAAGTTTTATAAGGGTCTCCAAATTATTATTTGAACAGTATAATGTAGAATATTATTATCCGAGGAATATTAATCAAGACCCATTAGAGAATTTTTTTGGACGTATAAGAGCTGTAAATTATAGAAATGTTAACCCAGATGCAAACACATTTATATATGCCTTTAAATCTTTGATATTATCTAACATGCTTAGTCCACATTCCAAATTCTCTAATTGTGAAGAGGATAATGGAGAAACATTATTAAATGTTAGTGTTCTTTTTAAAAACCTTCATAATAATAAAGAAAATGACTCGGAAAACACTACCAGTGTTTTGCGAGATCTCCCATCTTCTTCACAAGCAAGTTCAGGAGAAAAATTGCTAGTGAATGATGTAGTCATGGAAAAAATTAAAGTCCACTGCTCAGCTTACACTGCTGGATACATTTGTCGGAAAATAACGAAAGCGATTCGTTGTAAGGATTGCATCAAAACATATATTAGCAGTACGGAGACAAACATTCACTCTTACATTAAATTTAGAGAGTATAAATTGTTAAAAAATAATAATTTGGCATACCCTAACGAAAAATTCCTTATCTTGTACAGGGATGGCACTCACTTTATTCATAACTATTTGAATTATAGCTGTATTGGAAGTAATATAAAAAGTAATTTGAAAAGAAATTTATTGAGCACTTTAAGTTTGTCCTGCCTGGGGTGTGATAAGCATGCCTTAATTGTCAAAAACTTTTTCGTCAATATTTTAATTAGATTACATGGACACAATTGGTGCAACATAAATAATAAAATATTGAAGGGTGATATCGATGAAAAATATGTATCTAAAATGGGTGAACCCCAAAAATTGGCCTTAAAGAAGTATAAAAGTTTTAGGTTAAGAAAAACATGTTTAAGTAAATAAAATGTTGATGAAGTGACGACCTGTATATGCTGGTGGCTTAGGACCGTGATTTGTGGCATTTCTTGGGGGAAGCCTACATTCAGCAGTGGACTTGTGAAGCGCTGTAATGATGACGGTGGTGAAATAAAATTCTAAAAATTAAGTTATATGATAATATAGATCACTTTTGAATTATGATTATACTAAACTGTCGTTAACAGTAGCCATACAGCATTAATACATACAATACAGAAGTATACATTATATATTTATTCTTTAATTTTGGGTTTTTATGTATAAGAACAAAATTCACAAATATTGTTGGTTTTCAGAAACAGAAATCTAATGCTGATGTGGTGAGACAAATGTTGACAGAAGATACAAAATGTACACATTGGCAAAAAGGTATGATAAATTCAGTTTATTCTTAGACATTAAGTAAGTTTCAACATATCTATTATATCTATATTCAGCATATTATCCTCAAATCACGGTAAGAGTTCTTTGTTCTTCATCAAATCTAAAGATTACAGTTCCACTACACTTCAATGGTTTTATCAACAACTCCTAGTATTAAGGTTACACTTATTTGGAACTCCGTGCCTGAAGACATTGAGAAATCTCCTGATAATGGATGTATACAGTGTTAATCTTTATATGTTTTTTATTTCTTATTTACTGCATCTACCACTTTATTTTCACCACACCATGGGTTGACCAATAAAAAATGGCAACTGCCATGATGCCACCCTTTGTTACCTTAATATAAATAATATACAATTTATGATTATCATTAAGTCATAAAATATGAATATTGAACTTTATTTTTATTTATTTCTTTTCAGGTTACGTGGTGTAGAAAATGAAATTAAAGAAGAGAAGATGTTTTTTAATTTTTGTAAAAGAATTCCCAGGTTTACCCCTAATGAAAAATAAATAGCCATTGCTTCTAATAAAAAATGACTTGAAAGTAAAATATTAAGCACTTAAATATGATTCCTGTGGTTTAATTTGCTTTATTTAATGAACTGTAAATATTGCTCTGTTTCGTCAAATTGTACTTATTTATGTAAAATGTTATGTACAATTTTCTAATTTGTATATATGACTTAATGTGCCTTTAATTTAATCCTAAGATTACGTTTGTATGTATATGATGTTGGTGTGCTTGAATAAAAAATAAATAAGTTAGATGTATTATAATTGTTTCATTAAGTATTATTATTCCTGTATAATGCACTTATGTCGATATCGACAAAATAAGAACACCACTAAACATCGATATCGATAATTAGAAGGCTGTGTGCTTGCAATCCCTAAGCTATACTAAATTGTATAGTCATGACGTCATTACTCATCTGTCAAATTGGGCGACTGCAGCGCCAAAAGGCGTAGTTGGGAAACTTGACTAAAAGTCGCTGTCGTATCTGTAGCTTGCTACATATTTATTTATCTATGATAAAAACTAGAAAAGGCGTTTAGTTTTTGATTTGTCACTGGGTGATCAAGTCTCCCAAGGGAACAAGTCTCCCCAGTCTCCTGAACTCATTCTCACTGGCTGTAGCAAAATAATCATTAAATGTGTTAACTATTGTGTTTGGACATTCAATTGAATTATCGTTTAATTTTATTTTAATGTTTTAGTATGATTTTTTATTTATTTTATTTCTACATAGCTTTATATTTATTTTCAGACTTATTCATTAGTCTAGTGTACACTAATTTTTTTAGATACCTTTATAGTTCATTTTACGGTTATGCAATATAGTTTGTAGTATTTATTATTGTTTTTATTTTTTGTTTCATTTTATATTATTCGTAAACTTCTTTAATGCAAACATGATATTTTTTAACTTTTTTTAAGTCAACCCTTATTCGAATTAGTATTTATATTCACTTTTTCTATCGGTATAATATATTTATTTAGTATGTTAGGAATTAGCTCATGAAATAATTTGCAGTATTAATTTACATTTTTATTATGATGGAGTATATTTTCCCAATTCATTTTTTGTAAAGAATTTTTAAAAGTATTTTTTTTTATAGAAGAAGGGTTTATGCAAACGAGCACGCGGCTCACCTGATGTTAAGTGACTACCGCCGCCCATGATCAACCGCAACACCAGGAGAATTGCGGGTGCGTTGCCGGCCCTTTAGAAAGGAGTAAGCTCTTTTCTTGAAGGTCCCCAGGTCGTATCGGTCCGGAAAAATCGCCGGTGGTAAACTATTCCACAGAGAGGTTGTACGTGGAAGAAAACTCCTTGTGAAACGTACAGTGGTGGACCGCCAAGCATCCAGATGGTGTGGATGGTATCGGGACGTTTGACGTGTAGTGCGTTCACGAAATTTGGCGGCTGGGATTAATCCGAACAATTGCTCAGAGCACTCCCGGTGATAGATGCGATAAAATACGCAAAGAGATGCAACATCTCTTCGCAGCGCCAGTGAATCGAGCCGATCGGAAAGCACTCGGTCGTCGACGATTCGAGCCGCTCTGCGCTGGATGCGGTCAAGTGGAAGAAGCTGGTACTGGGGAGCCCCAGCCCAGAGTTGGGAACAGTATTCCATGTGCGGCCGAACCTGCGCCTTGTAAAGTTGCAGGCGGTGTGCCGGCATGAAATACTGTCCCGCTCTGCTGAGCACGCCAAGCTTTTTTAGAGGCCAATTTGGCCTTCCCTTCCAAGTGACCACGAAACTGCACGTCACTCGATATGTCGACGCCGAGGATTCCGATACTGGCTCAGGCAACAAGGGGAGTGCCTTGAAACTGAGGGGATACGACAAAGGGGTTCTTTTTAGCGGTTAACGCGCAAACTTGTGTCTTCTGGGGGTTAAACTGGACTAGATTTAGTCGCCTCCAATCCGAGACTCTGTCCAGCAGAGACTCGACTTCAGACACAAGTTTGTCCCGGCACTCGGAGACGTTTTCTCGAGAAATATTGGCTCGGCCGGTGTAAAGAGCATCACCAGTGCTGTCATCTGCATAGCAATGAATGTTACGGGTATGCAACATGTCATTGATATGCAGAAGAAACAGCGTTGGCGATAGCACGCAGCCCTGTGGAACACCAGCATTAATAGGCTTGCAATCGGAGCTTGCACCGTCTACAACGACCTTGATGCTCCGATCTGCAGGAAAGCTGGTGATCCAATCGCACAATTTCTCGGGAAGCCCATAGGAAGGGAGCTTCGAAAGAAGCGCTTTGTGCCAAACCCGATCGAAGGCCTTCGCAATGTCCAAACTAACGGCCAATGCCTCCCCCTTGAACTCTACTGCCTCCGCCCATCTGTGAGTTAGGTAGACCAGAAGATCACCAGCTGACCGACCACGGCGAAAACCGTATTGGCGGTCACTTATCAGCTGGTGATCTTCAAGGTACCTCATGAGCTGGCAGTTTACAATAGACTCCATTGTTTTGGAGAACAAGGAGGTGATGGCGATAGGCCGGTAGTTGGACGGGTCTGAGCGGTCGCCTTTTTTAGGGATCGGGTGGACGAAAGCCGTCTTCCATGATTTTGGGACTACGCCTAGAGAGTAGGAGTACCGGAAAAGACGCGTTAAAACCGGTGCTAACTCTGGAGCACACGTCCTCAGCACAATTGGGTGATTCCGTCAGGCCCGACTTGTGGATGTCTAGGGAGAGGAGTGCTTTGCGAACCGAGCGCTGTGTGAAGTGCACTTCCGGCATGGAGCACTCACACCGCGGGATGGTCGGCGGAGTACTCCCCCCGTCATCGAGAGTCGAGTTAGACGCAAAGAAAGAGCCTAGAAGATCGGCTTTCTCCTTTGCGGTATGGGCCAGTGAGTCGTCCTCCCTGTGCAGAGATGGAAGAGATGGCTGACAGAAATTCCC